ACCTATAAGGCCCTTAGTGCTCTGGGACCCACATATCTTTGGGACCGCCTCTTTTAGTATACCCCCAGCATTGCACTCAGTAGATCAGAACCTATTGGTGGTCCCTGGCCTGAGTGATATCCGGCTGTCCTCGACCAGAGCCAGGGCATTTTCCACCCTGGCTCCAACCTGGTAGAACTCTCTGCCGAACATCTGTGCCCTGCAGGACTTGATGCAGTTCTACAGGGCCTGTAGGGCACAGATGTTCTACCAGGTGTTTGGTTGAGAGCAGTGATGGTTCCATTCTCCTGACACTCCCACCTCCTGCCCCTCCATGAGGCAGTGGCACTACTGGAAATTTTAAGCACCATTTTTTAGGCTAATCACTGTGTTTTTATTATTTTAAACTGTTTCAACTATGTATGATATGAATTTATTATGTTGTACACCACCTTGAGCTCTGTCCTGGCAGTGGGAGGACAGTTTAAAATATAATGCAATTAAAAAAATGAAATTAGCTCCCTTATACATGATTGTGGAGGTGATTCATAGAGATGGCTGCCTTAACATGGATAATTTTGCTCAGTGGGGCTGGTTTTGCTGCTTGTGTTAAAAAAGTCATTCTACATCATTAGCAAAGGTTAGTGGTTTAAGAACCATTCTCAGGTCATTCTGAGATACATTGTTATCCTGGTGTTTATAAGAATTGCCTTGCTAGATGGATCTTTGGTTTGATCCTGTCCAGTATTGTGTCTACAGAAAGTGGCCAGCTAGATGGAGACAGTTATCATGTCCTCTCTACCTCCAGCATCTGGCAATCAAAGTAAATTCTCACTTTAGATAATCCATTTTTATCTAACATATTCCTCTACTAGAAATAATGCCTGTTGCGGAAATAAATACAACGGGATCTAGAAAGAGGCTCTGGGAGAGTGCTCTGGCTTTGGGCAAACAGTGTCAGTTTCCTGTGGCAACCTCAGCAGGGTTTAATGACAGAGTCCACTGTTTTCTCCAGAGGGACTGATCTCTGCTACCTGAAGAGCATTTGTATGTTTGAGTTATCTGTAGCCCTCACCTGGAGAGTGGTAGCCATTGTTACCCATTCTCCTCCTCCCCTCCTCTATGCAACTGAAAATTCCAACTGCCTTGCGGGGGGGGGGGGAGTTTGAGGTGTGGAATGGACTGAAGTCCAATCAGCTTCCATATGCAAAAGACCAGGTTGTCGCAGCAGTTGTGGTGTGGGCGGGACCTGGGCTTTGCCTTCTGATTGGTGGCGATATATGCTGAGGAGCAGTGCCATCAGCCATACACTAAGGGAGTGCATTTTAGAATTAGAACTTTGGCACCCACTATTCAATTATATATAAGGAGAGATGTGAATACCATGCCATGATCATCACCATATCTGAGATGTGCTAAAGTGATATATATTTTGTTTGTGAAGATGCAGTATTTCATTTCTATCATGTAATCCTGTCTCTTTCCTGTGGTCTTCAAACAGACTTTTATGTAAAAGTATTCCCCTTCTTATGTAAACCCAGTAATGTAAAAATATCTGTTATTAGACGGCTATCCAGGCTCTGCCCCTGAGAACTTGGACAGGACATTAGGAGCTGTGACTGACAGGTTACAACAGAGTCAACTGAAACTTAATCCAGTGAAGATGGAGGTCCTGTACTGGAGTGGGGATCAGGCTCCCTGCCTTTCATAGCGCACCATTAGTGCAGGTTCAGAGAGTGAGGAGCAGGGGTGGATCCTGGATGCCTCACTTTCAATGGAGGCCCAGGTAGCAAGACTTGCAAATAAATATTTGCTGTAAATGAAATTTAATTGTATGAGGATCAGGCAGATGGCTCCCTCCCCCCCCCCCCCCCCGGACTTGGCTACAGTGCCCACGCAATGGTCGCTTCCAGACTTTACTACTGTAACTCGCTCTACACAGGCTTACCCTTGAGGCTAATCTGGAAACTTCGACTAGTGCAAAATGCAGCAGCGCGTTTGCTGACTGGGTTGCTTGTGCAGGCGCACATTCAACCGGTACTGCACAGATTGCACTGGCGTCTGATTGAGTACCAGATTCGTTTCAAGGTGTTGGTACTGACCTTCAAAGCCCTGTACGGCCAGGGACCGATGTATCTGAAGGACCGCCTTTCCCCATATGTGCCCCAGAGAGCCTTGCGTCCAGCAGATCAGCATTTGCTGGTTGTCCCCAGCCCAAAAGACATCCTGTTTAGGCTCGACCAGGGCCAGGACTTTTTCTACCCTGGCCCCAACCTGGTGGAACATGCACCCATTGGAGATCAGGGCCCCGCAGAACCTATTACAGTTCTGCAGGGCCTGTAAAACGGAGCTGTTCCATCGGGCTTCTGGGTGAGGTGGTGGGCATCCAATTATTCCTTCTATTGGCCTCCCCTGCTGAATATTGCACCCTCAAATGGCACATTAGGTGAAGACCCATAGTTTGGTCTACGGCCTAGCAGCCCCAGGTTTTGTAGCTACCATATTAAACTGCTGTGCCATCTGTTTTGTTTATAGTTCAGTTTAAATCTGTTTTAATTATTTATTATGGATGATTTTCATGAAGTGTTTTAATTCTTATTGTGAAATGTTTTAACTTTTGTTGTCATCCACTCTGAGCCCATTCATGGGGAGGGCATAATATAAGCTGAAATAAATAAATAATAGATCAAACATATCAATAAAGGCTGCGCATTGAGAAAGGGTCTTTCAAAATCACCAAAGGCATCTCTTACTAACACGGAACTCCTCCTGACAAAATGTTGAGGTGAATGAAGGACGTTTATCCCTCCATATTTTTCCAGGACTGATGAAAAGCTGCTCTAACTGTATCAAGATACAAGAACTTCCAGGCATAAATACAGAGCTAACCTGGACACATTTCAAAGGCTGATCAACATGGACTGATTTTGTAATACCATTTCCCCCAAAAGGAGCTTTAACAATCAGCTCAACAGAAGTAAATCTATACAGTGCGTTTATAGCTGACTTCAAATATTTGTTGCATTGAGAATTGAAAGTGTGCAGTGGTGAGGCTAGGCATTCTTTGGGGGATGTATTTATGCTCTTCTTTAGATCCTCAAAGTTAAAATAGCCAAAATGGGAAATCACAGGTATGATGTGCTACTGTTAGCACTCTGCCTGGCAGTACAATTTGCTGAAGAATCAAAAATTTGGCTGGATTTCTGTGGTAGATTTGGCTTTGCCTCCAAGGTGAAATTAGGGCAGAAGCTGCTAGACTCCTTAAAAGTTCCCATGACCTACATGTATTTATACTATTAGACCTTTTACAATTAACTGGCTGCCTTTGAAGCAAACAGTTTGAGACTCTGAAGCTTAATCAAATGTGTTCAGTAGAAAGTATGTCCTCTTGAGCTGAACACAAGTTATACTCTGGTTTTGGCTCTCATGGAATAGAAGCTGCTTCCTGGCAAGTAGACTTAGAATTGGAGTCTTATTGCCCAAGTTAGCCATGTTCATTCAGATGTAAATCCCACTGCTTTTAATTGGGCTTACTCCCAAGTAAATACACACTGGATTGCAGTCTTGCAGTCACTTTCTATTGCTCATAACAGTGAAGCTTGTTTGCAAAAATAGATGCTGTTTAAAAATTCTTGTTTTCTTGTCTGATTCTGTAATTGCATTTACAGAACACAAGCTCACCAAGAGCATCAGCTTGCAAAAGGCAAACTTCCATTATATATCGAAAAGGCTCTACATGTTACCCTGCAGACCAATTCCACACTGTCATTTTTGTCACTTGTTTGTCCCTATTGCTTCAGGGTCCCCCCCCCCCCCCAAAGTGTTTTGCTCTCTCTAGTAGTCTCAGAGGGAGCAAAACACATGCGGAAACAGGGGGGGAAACCCAAACGAGTGACAAAAATGACAGTGCGGAATTGGCCCACTAAATCCAAGGGAGTCACCTTAAGAATGTGAACAAAGTCCATTAAGATATCCCTTTGGTACAAGCCCACTGAAAGTGGCTTATTCATTTCAATGAGGCTTGCACACAAGAATTTCCTTACTGGGCTTGTCCAGAAGCATCATCTCCATCCCTCTGCCCAGAATAACAATTCTTTGCTCCCTCCCAACAATGCTCTTGGAACATTATTTCCTTGGAACAAATTGTGCAGGCAATCCTCACATTTTTTATTCCATAATAATCTGGGAAATTAATATAAACCAATCATAATTTGTTCTGGATAACCCTTTAATTACACTTTATATAACAGTGTGCGCATGTGTACATGCATGTAACAAAACATGTGCAATTGTCACACATGATTTTCATGCACTTTCCTATATTTCTATATTTACACATTAAGGCAGCAACCCTACCCACACTTACTTAGGCATAAGCCTCATTTAACACAGAGGGGAATTATTTCTAAGAAAACATGTATAGGCATGCTTTCGGTGCAGGAAATACAAAACATTTAAAGTGGCCCAAAAACTCTGTTCCCACTGCTCTCACAGTGATCCTCCCTGGGCCTGGCAAAGGTAAAATCACAATTGTTGTCTGGAATCCCATTCTAGCATTTCCATGGCACAAGGATTTCCACTTGAAGAATGCAACTTTCTTTCCGCCTCTGTCTTGTGGCAGCCTGAAAGGGGGTTGGGGGGAATTTCAGGCTACTGCAGAGGGAGGGGCTTCCTGCTCTGTGGACAGAAATCCTTGCACCTGCAGAAATGCTAGTCGAGATCCAAGCCACTGTCTTATTCTATGAATAAGACAGAATAAATTTTAGTCCAGTGCAGTGTTTTCTCTAAGCTGAGTTAGTGTGAGCTAGCTCACAGTTTTTTAGCCTACAGCTCACACATTGTTTGTCTTAGCTCAGGAAGGATGGTTCCAGAGCAAACTTATCTATGCAGTAGCCAAATCTCTCACTCACTTTAATGCCAGTAGCTCACAAAGTAGAATTTTTGCTCACAAGACTCCACAGCTTAGAGGGAGCATTGGTGCAGTGGCACTTTTAAGACCAACAAAGTTTAATTCTAGGTATAAGCTTTCGTGTGCATGCACACTTCTTCAGATACAGAGAAAATATATCAATAAGAGAACACTGTGGCCAGAGGTTGTTACTAACCAACGAACATAAGTGAATGGGGTTAAAACAATTCATGGCACTTTCCTTAATCATACACCAAATTCATGCATCCAAGTAATTTTATGCATGTGACAAATCCCACTGAACTCAGTTAAGCCACCAAGGTGTTTACATATTTGTAGGTGTATTATGATAATGTCATTAGGGGTCTTTGGAAACCATTTCTTACACAGTCTTATAGCAGCAAAAATCATCATAAAGTTGATCCTGAGTAAAGATAAATAGCCTCAGAGGACTGAGACCTTAATAATTTTCAGCCTCTGATTAGATTACATAAAATTAGCAAAATAGCTTGTGCAAATGTATTTAATTCCTTATGCTACTTATCCCATAAATACATTCTTTTTTTTCAACACAGATGATAGTGTATCTTGTAAAGTAAATGTCTCAGGAGAAAATGGGACTGGTAAATTAACAAAAAAAGTTTTAGAGTCTGTATACAATGTCTGCACAAATCCATGAAACAAATTAATCTTCCATATCTGTGTTGCAGTGTACACAAACACCAACAAAGGAAAAATTCTTAGTAAACAGCTGGACCAAAGTTTCAGACGTACATAACTGCAACCAAAATAGCAATATATTTTTAGAAGGGCAGGATTTCCACAGTCGATAGTAATAAACCTGAGATGCAGCCACTCAGCAAAGTGGCAGTGATACAGAGAATATCCTGGTGCCCTGATTTCCAGGTCTCTCTTCCTCCACACTGTAGTGAATGAACCTTCACATCAGCACGAGTTGATTCAAAACAAAACTTTGGTGCTTACTTGTTCCATGCCAAGTAATAGTTGCTCTCCATTATTCCAGGGTGGAAAAAGATTTCCTTCAAACATGCTTCTGTAATTGCAAATGCTAACAGCTCATTTCAAGAAATGGATGTGTTAGCATGTGAATCCTAGGATGATGAAAAGGCTTTCCTTAAATGCTGCTGTAATCTACGTTCTTGGCAACAAAGGCTGGGGCTTCCCACTCCACGGTGAAAAAGGAAATTGTCCCAAAGAACCCAACCACAGCCATAACCAGGAGCTGCCACTGAAGAAGCAGATAGTTACTGTAGAAAAATGCTATGGCTGCACAGACAGACTGAAAAGGAAAGCAGGGAAGAGATGAACATAGAGGTTAGTGACATACCAACTCCGCTTTAGAGACATTTGCTTTTAATAACATTCCAGGGCATAAATTCCTTTTCTAAGTAACCTCTTTAGCTTGTAAATCCTGCTTTTCTGAATCAACCCTGGCAGCAAATGGTCACCCATATCTAACAGGATGGACTCTACTTGATCCAAGGTCACTTCCAATTAGAGTTTGCCTACTGCATCTTCACTGCTTGTCTGCATGAAATCCAGCACTACTGTTTCGTTTCCCAGTCTGCATGAACACTTGATAGACTTTGCATTGTTCTCCATTTCATCTCTGTTAATATGAACATATTAAACATATATCTGATTCCAAACTTGGCCTGAATACAGATTTTAAAAATCTGCACAATTGGGCCTGGCGCAGAAAATCCAAACTATTTTATTTAAATGGAGGTCAACTGCCCCCCAATGGAGAAGTGAGATGTGCACTTGCACACATCAGAACTTTTTTAAAAATGACCACAATCCTAAAGGATTACAGTTGAACAGAAGAGGAGAAGGGAAGAAAGGAATACCAATGTGAGTGCTGGGGAAGACATAGAGAAAGCCGTTGGAAGATGGAGAAGGGGGGAGGAGAAAGCAGTGATGGGGAGGAGAAAGTAGTGGCAGAGGTGGGAGGGGAGAGAAGGAGGAGAAAAAAGCAGTAAAAGCAATGATGGAAAGGCTGGGGGAGTGAGGGAGAAAGCAGGTTGAAGGGAAAGGAGAAGGAATGAGAAAGCAGTGATGGGAAAACTGGAGGGTTGTATGGCCTGCCCAGGGCTCCCAAAACCTCGAACTGGCACCTCTTGTGGGTACCCCTTAGGTTCTCCTATACAACATATCTAGCAACGTATGCATTCCATTCAAGTCTTTTTTTAAATCCCTATTTTCATTTTCCCAGTACTGTCTTTAATGTTTTCCAATTTAGGTGCCCAAACACCCCATTAGTGTAAGGGCTTTGGGCTCTTGCTCCTAGACTTATGCAAACTGGGTAGTCATCAGGGTTCCTTCTAATTTTACCACATAAAGACTTTTATAGATGTGCAATTAATAATTTACTGCATCATTCCAGTAGAGTAGTAACTACAAATATAATAAAACAATCTGGCAGCACCATTTGGTGAGAGAGATTACCTGAACGAATTTGAAGATAGCAAAAGCTGGAGCACTGTCTTCTGCATACAGGTACCCCAAAATACTGAGGAGCTGAGTGTTGAAACAGCTATCACCTAGACCCAGTAAGAAACTGCAAAAAATAGCCACTTCTTTGCTAAAAAGGAAAGGAGCCTCACATCAGCCACAAAGAATTTAAGCAAAGCATGTACAACTATTGCGGGGGTGGGGGTGTATTACAAATGATACCATCATTTATTTTGTCTCTAGTGATTGAACATTCATGGGTGCCCTTGTGTGCCACAGCATCTGCTGAGACATTTCCTGGTGCCCTCCAAGTATTTTTAGAAAGTGGGCAGGGCCGGGGGGGACTTTTGCCCAGCAAGGTTTCTGATGAGCCACGGGAGATCTAATTGGCTGTGCAGATTTTTAAAACACTGTTTTGGTGGCAGCAGCCACCACAGCCCACTGTGTGACTGAAGGTAAAAGCTGCAGCACCATTTTGTGGTTGATTCCACATTCTGTGGGAGCCATTTTGTGGCTGTACCCCGCATACTATGGTAAAATTCCGAAGGTGCCCATAGGCTCAAAAAAGTTAGGAATCCCTGGTGTAGGTCAACACTGAACATTTATTACACAGCCACATAATTTTGAGAATGAACATCTCTTACAACATTTCTTCATTGAAGTTAATGTCATAATTTTCAAAACCTCATTAGTAAACCCCCTTCATACATTCTGAAGAGTTATGTCCAGGCTGTGAATATTTAGGTCAGTGATAGCAGGTCTCTGGGACACCTATCCCACTTACATTCACCTAGTAAAAGGGGATATTCCCAATGCGCAAAACATTATTAAAACTGAAATATGTGCAATTTACTTGAACAAACTGCCTCTAGAGATTTGCAGAAAGTGGTCTCAGTTTGTAAAGGAAGGCAACCTGCATTCCATGAGGTTTAGACCTCATGGTCCCTAATTAGATGCTCAGTTGTCAGCTCAGCACAAGGAAGCAATACCTTGGTTCCATATATGCTATGCTGTCTGTTCCGTAGATGGAGGCAATAGGTGCATCATTCGGTATGTTATAGAAAATCAAATAGAAGGCTACAAAATGGACGATGATGCCTAACATCACCACTGGGTTCCGGCCAAAACGGCTGCTCTTGCTTAGGAGGCCAAAGATTCCTCCACCTGTGGACAAAGCCAGAGAACGGAAAGAAAGTTAATTTTGGGTAAACCCAGTATTCATGGTATCAAGAGTTTCGACTGAAAATGTAAAGAGAAAAGTGTCCTTTAAACACTTGTATGTGCAACACCAAGGGGGAAGGGAGCAAGCAGAGTGGAATTCTGTCTGAGCACACGGTCTTCTTAGGATTACTACTATTAAGGAAGGATCCGTCCGTCCTACCTATCAATCACATTTCTATCCTGCCTTTCCTCCAAAGAGCTCAGGACAGCAAACATGGTTCCCCCTCCCCCATTTATCTTCACAATGTATTTCTGAAGTAGGTTAGGCTGACAGAAAGTAATTGTCAACTTCAAGACAGTGTGGGGATACGGACCTGGGGCTCCCCTCCCCTCGTGAACAGACTAATCTGTTTAGCACATGGTCTCTGCCATGGAAAGATAGGTTTATCAGTGGCTACTATAGCCATGGGGACAAAGGGAACATCCACATTCCGAGGGAGTAAACGTCTGAATCCTAGTGCCAGGAAACAATATCAGGGGAAGGCCTCTGTGCCCTGTTGCTGGAGCTCCAGAGGGACTGGTTGAACACTGTGTGAGACAAGATGCTGGACTAGATGGACCTCTGGTCTGCTCTAGCAGGCCCCCTTCTTATGTTCTTATGGTATATAGTCAAATGAACCAGAAAGCAGACAACACTGAAACACAGGAAAGGGGAATCCACACCAAAGGTTGTCAAAGGCTTTCACAGCCGGAGTTCATTAGTTGTTGTAGATTTTGCCGGGGTGTATGGCTGTGGTCTTGGCATTGTAGTACCTGATGTTTCACCAGCGGCTGTGACTGGCATCCTCAGAGGTATAACACAGAAAGATGGAGTACTCTCTGTGTCAATGGCCACATCTTTCTGTGTTAAACCTCTGAGGATGCCAGTCACAGCTGCTGGCAAAACATCAGGTACTACAATGCCAAGACCATGACCATACAGCCTGGAAAATCTACAACCACCACACCAAAGGGTTGGACCCAATTCACCATGAGTCCTGCACTACAGTCAGTGTCTCCTATTGTGAAACACTTTCTATTCACCAGCTACAGACCACGACTTAATTCAGAAATCTCCAAAATCATTGAACCATAAATATTTTGGAATTTTGAAATCAGGTAGTGGGTGTCACCACAAAATAGCTTCCATATAGGGTAGGGTTGGTTGCAACACATTGGGAAATTCCAAAATAAGCAGCCTGCTCTGATGGAGAGAACAGTTTCTGAACGGTTTCCCCCGGCAAACATAAAGTTTCTGTCTTCTCTTCTGAAGCACCTCCTACTCCAGTGAGGTGGAGGAAAGCCACAATTAGCACTTTACTTTGGGAAAAATAAGAAAACATCAGAGGGAAGACAAACTGGAGATCACTGGCTAATTCTTCCAACAGCATTGTAACCACTTCAGACTACCAGTAGAGACTCACAACTAAATATTGCTCCATGCAAAAATGAATACCTCCAAACAGACTTGGCTTGTGCCCCACCTTTGACTTGAGGATTAAACATCTAGGGCAGCTGCTACTTAAATGCATTGCAACACCATGTTAAATATGTGCATCTTACTCTTTGCTAGGGTTCTTGAGATACATGCAAAAATATATACAGACATAGTACACTTGTGAGCAAAAATTATTTCATAGTACATCATATTCAATACAAACGCACCTAATATTTCCCCAATGCCAATAAAAATACCAGAGAGCCCTATCAGGCTTTTTTCTTCAGCACCAAATTTATTTACAGCTCCTATACAGGTCCCATACACTCCAGAGAAGAATGTTAATTCCAGACCTGGAAAGAAACAACATTTCAGTTGTTGTTATGCACAATTACTTTATCCTTAAGCACTATTCATGCCAGCTAGTGGAAGCTGCTGTGACAATCATACTAAGATAAAGTGTGCCAACAAGTCACAACGAACTCATGGCAACCCCATGAAGCTCAACCTTATGTGGTTTTCAAAGCAAGAGATGAGCAGAGGTGGTTTGCCATTGCCTTCCTCTGCATAGCAGCAGCCCCAGTCTTCCCGGGTGGTCTCCCACCAAAGTAACAAGGAGATCAGGCTAGTCTGGGCTTTTAGGGCAGTTATGACAATTAGATTACTTGAGGAGAATTTCAGTCTCACAAATGTTAGTTTAATTAACATTAAAAACCCCAAACAAGCACTTAGTAGTAATCCCTGCAGTGCACACATATAGGGTACTAGCTTCCAAATAAAATGCCTATGTCTCCCATAATAAAAAACAATACTTAAGAAAAGTATTACAGAAGTGGCAGGATAATATGTAAGTCTGTGTGCTAAACTAAAAGTGATTATCCACCCCACAAATGCAATTATTATTTTTTATATTTTTATACAGACAAGTAGTAGAGTTTTGCAGATCTCCATTCTTGCAAACCTAGCCTTTGTAAGGAATGATAGTTACTCTTAGTTGTGACCACCAGATGGCAGTCTTGCAACACATCTCTCAGCAAGTACCAATAACTCTGCTTGATGCCAATACAGTAAGAGAATTTGCCTACAGATGCTGGAAAAGACACCCAAGGATGTTGCAAAGTAATCCTTTAAAGGGATCAAGGGCCATGATCCATAAAATGTCTAAAGCAGCCAAGGCTTTCTGTGTGTAGCTTTGTCTAGTGCAGCTCTGGCAGACAAGACAAGCAAGTGTCAGAATAAAAATCAGATAGAATTTTTCTCTACAGTCAAGAAAGCCTCAGCTCTACTTATGGCTCTCCAGCACCACTTCAACAGTTCACTGGGCTTGCCGTGCGAAATGCTGGGTGCTGAAAAAGAACAGAAATGGAAACTTGCAAAACCCTTGAGGAGATAAGGAAAGGAAGACTTAGTGAAGAGCAACGGACATTGGATGGAAGCTTAGGTGAGAAAGCTACTCTTGGCCACAGAAAGGGTACCTTTCTCAGGCCCCAGGCAAATCCCAGACAGCAATGTTTGTGCCTTTGACTCTACCTGTATAGGCTGTTGTGATACTAAGTAACAGAATCTCTTTCGTGAAACACAACTTGATAGAGCTTTCTGCAAAAAAAAAAAAAAGAGTTAAACAGAATCATGAAAATTATACTATCAGATTAAAGGGAAAAGGGGGGACTTTACTTATGGTCTCTATTATCATTCACACAGCTTTACATAGGGACAAGAACTGGAGATATGAGAAGAAATGATGGCATTTCCCACCTCCACTTTACGTTTATACCCCATCTTTCTGCTCACTAGGGACCCAAAGAGGCTTAAATCATTCTCAACCTCCATTTTATCATTACAACAGCCCTGTGAGGTAGGTTATGGCTGAGAATGTATGACTGGCCCAAGGTCACCCAACAAGCCTCCATGGCAGATTGGGGATTTGAATCTGGATCTCCCAGATCCTAGTCCAACACTCTAACTCAGAGGTGTCAAACTCATTTGTTATGAGGGCTGGATCTGACATAAATGTCACTTTGTTGGGCCGGGCCATATGTGACATAAAACGTAATGCCAAGTACCGGAGATACAAACTGTAAAAAGGACAACAGCTGGTAAGCTCTGAGTTGATGTATCCTCACTGCAAGTCCCCATGGGCTGGGAGGGGGTTGCAGAGGAAAACCCACACAGGTGGACTGGAATGGCAAGCTGTGCAGAGCTGTGCAGATGCTCCCACAATGCTTGCCTACTGCAGACGAGGTTGTTCTGCTGCGCTGAAGCCACAATCAGAGTGGCTCCACCCCCTCCCCCCCCCCTTGCATCAGTTGCTCATGGGCTGCATAAGAGCCCTGGGTGGGCTGGTTCCAGCCCCTGGGCCTTACGTTTGACACCCCTGCTCTAACTGCTATGCCATGCTGGCTGCTGTTAACAATAGCACATCCCCCCCCCCTTTAGATCATGGCCACTGCTCCCCTAATAGAAACAGCTAAGCTGCATGGAACTTCCAAAAATCACTCATGAAGTCAACTAAAGGCACTTCTACTCTATTGTGATACTAGAAAATGGAAAGCATAAGTAGGTAAAAAAAAAGAGATACAATATAGGAAAACAGGTCAAATTTGGAGAAGGGAAACAGCGCAGCTCCCTTGTCATTTTTAGACAGGTCTACAAGTGAGTTTCAGATTGTCCTCTATCACTAAACATGATGGAATACCTAAGACCATACAAAGACCATAGAATGTTACTTACTAAATGCATCTGTGGCTCTTGTCATTTTACTTTGGTCAGACCTGGTTAAAAACAAATACATATTTTTCAATGGAAAAAATAAATGCTACAAATGCCACCGAGCTTGAAAACATGCACACACACTTCCGCCTATAACATATCTTTAAAAAAAAACATTTTTGCTAACATTAAAAATATTAGAATATTATATACTCAGTATGGAAAACAATATCTCATGCAGAAACGAAACCAGGTAAATTGCATCAAAATTAACTTTCTTCCTTCAGACTTTTTAATGAGTTTTCCCCCATAGGATATTAGCTCCGCCCACCATCCTTAAGATTGATTGGTAAAAAAACCCACACCACCATATGAATTAAGAAATCTAGTTGTCTGTGTATTTCATGTCATTTGGTATCTTAGTGCAAGTTGTAGTTTTTTGTTGTTCAGTCGCACAGTCGAGTCCGACTCTTCGCGACCCCATGGATCATCTCCCGCCAGGCCCTCCTGTCTTCCGCCGTCCTCTGAAGTTGGCTCAATTTCATGTTCGTTGCGTCGATGACACTGTCTAACCATCTCATCCTTTGCCGTCCCCGTCTTCTTTGACCTTCAATCTTTCCCAGCATCAGGGTCTTCTCCAGGGAGTGCTCCCTTCTCATTTGGTGGCCAAAGTATTTGAGCTTCAGTTTCATTATCTGGCCTTCCAGGGAACAGTCAGGGTTGATTTATTTTAGGATTGACTGATTTGATCTTTTTGCAGTCCAAGGGACTCTCAAGAGTCTTCTCCAGCACCATAGTTCAAAAGAATCTATTCTTTGGCGCTCGGCCTTCCTTATAGTCCAACTCTCGCAGCCATACATGACTACTGGGAATACCATTGCTTTGACCATGCGGACTTTTGTTGGCAGGGTGATGTTTCTACTTTTTATCATGCTGTTTAGGTTCGCCATCGCTTTCCTCCCAAGGAGCAGGCGTCTTTTAATTTCATGGCTGCAGTCACAGTCTGCGGTGATCTGGGATCCCAGGAACGTGAAGTCTGTCACTACTTCCACGACTTCCCCTTCTATTTGCCAAGGAGTGATGGGGCCGGATGCCATGATCTTAGTTTTTTTGATGTTGAGCTTCAAGCCCACTTTTGCGCTCTCCTCTTTTACCCTGAGCAAGAGGCTCTTTAGGTCCTCTTCACTTTCAGCCATTAGAGTGGTATCATCTGCATATCTGAGGTTGTTGATCTTTTCCCCAGCAATCTTAATTCCCGCTTGTGATTCATCCAGGCCAGCATTTTGCATGATGTACTCTGCATATATATTAAATAAGCAAGGTGACAATATACATCCTTGTCGTACTCCTTTTCCTATGCTGAACCAATCAGTTGTTCCATATCCGGTTCTAACTGTCGCTTCTTGGCCCTTATACAGGTTTCTCAAGAGACATGTGAGGTGGTCTGGTACTCCCATCTCTTTAAGGACCTGCCATAGTTTGTTGTGATCCACACAGTCAAAGGCTTTAGCCTTATCTTATCTTATCTGCATCCAAACTACAAACTACAACTTAACAAGGCTCCACGGGATATGAAATTCTCAGTGGCAACATTATAAACAAGCTTTGCAAGCCACTACAGAATTTATACCTCTAAAACTATTGTCTGGAACTGCATACCAAGAGTCTGCATTTTTTAAGCCTTGCAGACAGCTTCTTTTGGAAAATTCAAGAAATATTCAAAGACGGTTCTTCAAAGTAAACATTTTTCAAATAGATAATCATTTTACTGCCCTTTAATTAGAAGACAGTAATGATGAGAGCATTAGAAATCTACAGGGCTGTTAGAACTACAGAAGGTACTTGGCTGCCATATACAAATTCCAAGGTGGAATTCATAAGCCAAATGATTACAGAAGGTCAGAATCTTTTTTTCTGTGTGGTTCGTAATAAGGCTGGTCCTCCCTAAAGCAATTACTGATGCCTCAAAAGCTAACACATTGCTTTGAGAGGAGAAGTGATGGGCAGTGTTATGTCAATCACATTCCCAGATCTCAATCTAAATTAATTTCTCTTTCATTTAAATGGTACAGATCCTTTCCTCTTACATTTTCCCATCAGCCTTTCACTGCCCTTCTCGCTTGCAGCTGTCAGAGATTTACCCTGTTGTAAAAGTGAGTGGGTATGGCTGGAAACAGAACACTGGCATGAGTGGCGGCATGAGAGGATCTCTACGTTTTAAAAGCTACAAAATACTTCTCAGAATGCTGCCAAGGTACTTTGTGGGCAGGACTCAATTTCTAAATAAAGACAAGCCAAGACTCAGGCCAGCATAGAAACCTGCCTCTGCCTTTAAGGAAACCCTACTCCTTGATTCTAAGTGTACAAAGACATACTGCAGTAATTCAGGGCTGATGGCAAGGCATTCTGTACATGCTCAGAAGTACTTTATCAGTTCATAACTGTTCCTGCAAAGAAGATGGGAAGGGATGGTTACAGAAGGAGTGACAAGGCTGTCAGAACAACACTAACAGCAGATGCAAGAGAACTTGGGCTGGTTCTCATTGTGTTGTTAAACCCAGACTAGGACTGTACCATTAGAAACCATAAGTGGGGGCTCTCATGACAATGTGCAAAAAACAGTCCTTCATTAAAGGGTTATAGCCTAGTGTGGTATGCTGATTTGCTATGTGCAGAGAATTTTCATATGAACCTCCATCAGCACTCTATTGCATTTTAATTCTGTCCTTTCTCCGAAGAGCTCAGGGTAGCATATGAGGTTCTCCTGGCTTCCAGCTTATCTTCAAAACTACTCTGTGAAGGAGGTTAGGAGCTTTTCTGCATTCCCATTTCCCTCACTTGTAGGAGCCTGTGTCTTCAGAGGAGGTCTGTTCCACACGTGTTTTTCTACCTCTAGTGGTCCATTTGATATTACACTGGTTTATGTCCAGCATAAATCTGTAGGGAGATATGCTGGACATACACCGGTGTAATATCAAATGGACCACTAGAAGGAGTAAATACAAGTGGAACAGAAAAATAACTCCGAAGACACAGACAGTTACAAGCGAGGAAAATGAGAATGCAGAAAAGCCCTAGGGGAAGAGGGGATGTGTAACTGTTCCAAGAACACCCAGCGAGCATCATGGCCAAATGAGACTTTGAAGCTAGCTCTCTTCACTTCTAGACTTAGTTCAACACTCTCACCACTATGCCAAACTCTCTCACACCACTCTGAAGTGGTATAGCCCAAGGACAGGTTTACCTTGCTAACCTGCATCACTAGGCTATAACTATGTATCATTTAGTCAAGATTTGGTGCTAACAGAAAGGCATTTTCACCCAACCCAAATTACATTGTCCTAAGGTAGATTCATTGCTACTCCTATTTCTATGGCAGGTCCTACAGTTCCAGAAAGATTACTTCAGTCACACACTTTACCTTGAGCACTGGTCAAAGGAGCAGCCTTTTCAGAGATTAATGGAAAAGCACAATTACTCATGCATTCCTAAGGACAACTAAGTATAATTTGTCTTTTCACTTGAACAAAATGTGGTTAAACTAGGAACATGTGGATCTAGCAGAAGTATGTACTGTATGCATCTATATTGCACCTACGTTGGTTCTACAAGGTTATCAGCATTGTCTGCTATTTCTCCTTCTTCTGTATTTGATTCCTGTGGATTCCTGATGAGAAAGAACAGAACGGTCCCTACAAGACTGATCACTGTCAGAGCAATGAAGACGGTCCTGCGGTCACTGTCTTGGGGGGGAAAACAATAATGAGTTACTCCTTAACAAACAACAATACAGCTATTGATACTAGCCAAAAACAGTCAGAAAACTATTTCACTGAAGCATTAATAGACATTTTGAAGACAGCCTACTGCACATATTGATTAATAAGCTCTCCACCAAGGAAATGTTAACTGCACAATATTGACATAAGGTGACTCATTTGCTTTTGGAAGAATTTAGAAGAGTTGTACAGGGTGTGCATGAAAAACAGAAAGGTATGAGAAGAGATGCAGAGCTGTGCAAGGGTTTTGTTACTATTGACAGAATGCCTAAAAGTCTACTAGGTGCTTTTAGAAAATAATCTGACATTGTGTCATGCAACCAAACTGTCTTTCACTGACTATGTGTAAATGTAATAACTTCAAACAACACAAGGTACATTATAGTACCTTCCAGAACTGGGATCTACCTTTAACCCCGACTGCACCATGGGACCCACTAAGCTGCAAGCATGTGACATCTCAGTCACATGATAGGAAGGAAGAAGAGCTAAGAACATAGGCCACAGACCAAGAGAGCTGGGGACAGCCCACAGAGTTTGCTCACCCCTATCTTTTGGTCTTTCTTTCCCAAGATTTTTACCTCTTTATGGCTACAGTCACATGTACCAGATAACACGGGGGGGGGGGAGGCTATTTGTGCTGCTGCAATTTGACCCGCCACTACGGCGATCAAGCGCGACGGCGGTGAACCCGGGGTTTTTTCTGTCGGTGCGTGTTTCGGCGCGCTTCAATGAGGAAGCAGGGAGGCAGTAGGAGCGTGCTGGAGCAATCAGACGGAGACAGTCCGTCTGCGGCCCGTTGCAAACAATTTGCAAGTGGACTTTCCAAGGTACGTTTTTACTCCGCAGCTTTGGCCAGGTGGTATGGATGAGTTGGGGGCAGGGGCACGACGCTTGCCAGATGTGTCCATGTGATTGCACCCTTAAAATCCGCCCGGCATTCATGGGTATCGCGCAGCAAATGCTTCGTGTGATCAGGGCCCATATGTACTATCTTACCACCCCACGCTACTGTACTTTTTTGGTTTGCAAGATTGAATATTAATCCTACAATGGTTTTACAGGGGAGATTTTTGAATAGGCCCTATTTCTCACAGAATCTGCCCTTGTGGCCTTAATAAGATAGATACATCCTTCCATGCCCTGCTTGAATGCAGGTTCTTTGAGAATATAAGGGATCACTATATTAAGCCTTTAATCAACCAACCATCCCCCCTCCATTCTGGAAACTCTGGCTCTTTTGTTCAACAATAAGGATCCTAAGTTTACTCTAGCAACTGCAAAATTGGTCTCAGTCCTTTTAGCCCTTGCATCAAAAAATAAAGAAGTATTTTCTGCTGCTCAAGATCTGTGAATCAAGTAGCTTCTAAGGGTATAAAAGGAAAGGAAGGAGCGCTGGGGACAGGGCATGTAAGCTGAGCACTGGGAGATATCCAATAGTGAAGGTCAAGTCCAAGGTCAGAGCCATGGAGGAATCCTATCTGCTGCTGTGTGATCTGGCCTCTCTATCCCGCGACTGTCCTTTAGAAAGTGCAAAGAGAAAAACATTTTCCTGTTGTCAGGGAATTCAGATACATATTCCAGCAGGCACCATCTCAGAAAAGGGATTTGCTCTTATGAAAGACAGAGAGGGTATTCTCTTCTAAGGTGGTGCCTACTACTCGGAGTTTTCGTAAGCACTTGCATTAAAGTTTTAACTATTGGGTTTTTTTAAATCACAAAGGATTTTTGAAAATGAACAAAAGGTTTTAAAACTGTATTAATCTGATTCATCAGTCTATTATCACAGTTGTTATAAAGCCTGAATGTAAATGCCCTTTAGCTAACAGGAAGCACTATGCATTTGTTTTAAGGGCAACAATATTATGTTTTACAATTTGTAATTACTCCAAACCAGACTGTGCTGAAAGAAAAGTTTGTTCATGTTTTAATTCAGGTCTCTCATCCCTAATATTGGTGTTCTGCACCAAATTACAAAATATGGTATGTATGAATCCAGAGCCGATTGAGAGATGGGCTAAATGAAGGCTGCCTTCTAGGACCTATAGGACTTCTTTGCTCACATCAGCCAATTGAGCCAGAAGATCATAGAAACAATGGCTGCATTTAGACATCAGAATAAACTGTGCACTCCCCACACCTTTTAAAACCAGCCTGCACATTTAACTGGTTTAAACAACATACTTATCTGTTTTCACATAAACCACATCCTTTAAATTATTCAACTGTAACAATTCTTTTTCAACTTTTGAGTAGTAATTGCATCCTAACAAGGCAACCTCTTAAAGTAGTTAAAATACATGGAGCCGAATAAGGGCTTGTGGTTGAGACAGACAACCTGCTGGATCTTTGGACTTCTAGAGTTTAGCCCTGAAGGACATATGAAGCTCTTGTTTATGTTTCTCAACTAGTAAAGAAGCACTGTACTAAAAGAAATGCTTTGTTATGGTTATTTAGTTGACAGTAAAGAAAATGCTTTGATCTTACTGCTGCTTTTTAAGTCTACAGAGACATGCAATAAAGAAATGGAGAATGGGAAAACACAGAGTTAAAGAAAGGGGGAAAAAAGAAAAAGCTCTAATGAAATGGCATGGTATGGTAGCAGAGGAAAGGGGTTGTCTTTGCCATTTGGCATTTAAAAGGGCTGCACTGATAGTATAGAAATATTCAGCTCATAAAGAGTTTATAAATTAAAAACAAACTTTATATCAGAGTAGTACAGGTACAAGGAAAGGAAGGTCTAGTGTGGTTGTTCATTAGTGATGTCAGGAACTCTAGCCAAGATACCGCTGACACTTGTGCAGCCACATTCCACACACTGCACTCACAGTCATAAAGGCAGGGCTGTCTTGGGGAGAAAAGCATTTTGACAGCAACTCAATGTGCCTGAGCGCTGGAAATACGCCACTATACTGCAATAGTTTTGCAGCACAAGGAAATGTCATCTGCATCCTGCTCAGCTGCAGAGTAAACACTATGCATTCCCAAAACATAAAATAAAATAAATAGCCTGGCAGGACCCTACTATTTCATTGTATCAAACCATTGATGGTCTGCTGTGCCATCAGCATCTACAATAATTATGGTTCTTGCTAAGACTTATATCCTACGTATCTGTACCTCAAATACAAGTATTGATTTTGATTTACATTGCACCATCAAAGCAAGTGCCATCTCTCTTATTTTAACTGGCATTATTTTTGCTTTTGAATGGCAACCAAAAATTGATTACAGAAGCTTTCCTTAACTTAGCTGTAGCATGTGAGAGCAAGCACAAGAAGCCAATGAAAAACTAGAAGGTTTGACAAGGGGTTTAAAAGACAATAGTGGAATGTACAGAAAGGCAAGGACTCAAGGAAAGGTCAAGGCCTGGAAGAGAGGAAATTAGGCACCAGCTAAGTATTTCCCAAATCTAAACATTTCTAATTGCAGTTTGAAGATACATATGATATGCTCAAAATGGAATCCAAAAATACAGAGGCTTGGATCCCACCAAGGCTTCCTCTAAGCTATGGGGTCCTGTGAGCAAAAATTCTACTTTGCAAGCTACTGGCATTAAAGTTATGAGTGAGCGATTTGGCTACTGCATAAATTAGTTTGCTCTCGAGCCATCCTTCCTGAGCGAAGACAAAAATGTGTGAGCCAGAGGCCAAAAAACTGTGAGCTAGCTCACACTAACTCATCTTAGAGGGAACACTGGATCCCACCTAGAATTTCTGCAGGCAGACAGAAGGGAGGTGAATTTCACCAATTCCTCCCTCCCATGGCAGTCCCAAATGCCCCCTGAAATGCTGCTCCTGGGGGATGAGGGACTCTCAGGAACAATTCCAGAAGGAACTAGAGGTCTCTTGCAGGACAGTGGAATTGGTGGAAATCCTTCCCCCACCCTTATGCCATGGAAATTCTAGGTGGGATCTGTCAGATTACTGGAGGAAATCTCCAATTACAACAATGCATATTAATTGACTTACTTTATTTCTGTCAACAGCACAGAAATGTCCTCTGATTATTTCATCAACCATCTTCCCCTTTCAAAATAATATCTTATAAGCAAAACCAACCTGTTATATGGGTCTTCCCTTGCCAGGCAAAGTATATATACAGATTCCCAAAAAACAAGCTATGGAAAAAAATAGCAATTCAGTTATTAATAATAGTAATACAAATAAACTCAAATAGACATAATAAAAATTAATTCATCCTGCTAAGAAATGGATGTCCTGGCTAGATGGAAGCCCACAACCCATAGCAGAGACATTGCCAGGGTACACCCACGTGTCATAAGAATAAGTCATATTTTAACGACATATGAAAACATCAAATGTGCTCCAAAATCAAGGTAATCTGAAGAATATATTCAGAGTCTACTCTGAGAACAGCAATGAATGCGACAGCCATACCACCACTTGATTATACCAGTGCCCCACCCCTTCTATCCATAAAAAACCCTTTTAATGTATCACAATTAAAACAAAAACAAAAAACCCCAGTATAACAGTTCCATTAATAGACATACAGCATCTGCTTGGTCCATTTGTTGGATCATTTCAGTTTGCTCTCACTATCTCATGTTCTTGGAGTTGCGAAGGCTACCATATATAAACTGGATCCTTGACCTTCCTGGCTAATTAAATCTTACCAGGATATTATTAGGACTCCTCTAGCCAGGATTAGTAACACCTCCCTAATGCAGGAAATTTATTTCAAAAAGCCAATGATAAGTCTCTGAAAAAGAAATAATCTTTAGATAAGAATGATCTGGCCAACTGCAGAGGCCAGTGTCCAGGCTTCCATGTTGGGGAAAGAAGGCATATCTGAATGCCTCATGTTTTTAGTATGACTTCAAGCCTGGTTATGGCTCAGAGACATCCTTGGTAAGCACTGGTGAATGATTTGTTTTAGAGGTGTAAAACATGGGAACCTCTGAATTTAAGGTCCAAAACCCCCAACCCATAAGCAAGCTCGAACTTGGCTAAGCAGTTAAAGGACTGAGAGGCTATAACTGAGAAAAGACTGCCAGCTGTAAAAGGAGGCCTAGATGTTAAGAAGGTTTGTTAAGTTGTGGTTAAACTGGATGGAGGTGGTTATTGGATGACCTTCTGGTAAGTATCTAGAAGCAGGAGACAGGTTAAGCAATTTGTGGGTAAACTGGCCAGAGTTCATTCTTGGGGCTGCTTCTGTATGAATGTCTGGAAAATTGGAGAACATTTATTATTTTGTGTATAAAGTAATAATCAGAATAGGAACTGCTGCTTGAAGCAATATGCAAAGATAGACTGGAGGAGGCTGGACCAGGAGTGTTAGGAATTGCTAAATATTGCTGAAGCTTTTCCTTTACATGTACACATAAAATAAATCCGCTACAAGATGTAGTCAGAACACACATGGAAGACAGTTAAAAGGTGTTGTTGTTGTTCTGTCGCACATTCAAGTCCAACTCTTCTCAACCCCATGGACCACACCACGCCAGGCCCTCCTGTCTTCTGTCGTCCTCTGGAATTTGCTTAATTTTATGTCCGTTGCATCAATAACACTAACCATTTCATTATTTGCCATCCCTTTCTTCTTTTACCTTCGATGCTCAGTCTTGCCATCTTATTTTTGACCACATACAACTTACCTTGATTCATAGATCTTACATTCCAGGTTCCTATGCAGTACTGTTCTTTTCAGCATCGGACTTTCCTTTCACCATTAGACACATCCACAGCTGAGCATCCTTTTGGCTTTGGCCCAGCTGCTTCATTCTTTCTGGGGTTACTTGTACTCGCCCTCTGCTCTTCCCCAGTAGCATACTGGACCTAAGGGGCTTATCTTCTAGTGTCATATCTTTTAGCCTTTTGTTACTGTCCATGGGGTTTTCTTGGCAAAGATACTGGAGTGGGTTGCCATTTCCTTCTCCAGTGGATCACGTTTTGTCTGAGTTCTCCGCTGTGGCCTGTCCATCCTGGGTGGCCCTCCACGGCATAGCCTGCAGCCTGATCAAACCACGCAAGCCCCCTCACCACGTCAAGGCAGTGATCCATGAGAGTACAGGGTGTTACTGAACTTTTAACCTGCCCATTGTAAGCAATAGAAACATTCTTCTTTTTAAAAGAACCACCTAGCCAATGGGAACTCTCAACAATTCAGGAAGAGAGAAGCCCAGAGAATACCTCCCAGGTTTGTTCTTATACTCATCTACACCACTGGAACAACTATAGGCATGACTGAGGGTGCATGCATCTTCCTTGCCATTCCTGAGAAGACCAGACATGTTCTCTGCCTCTGAAGAGACTAGCTAGCCACCCTGTGGCTTCAGTTTCTTAATTCTCATGGCTGAGGTAATAGCATGCTTTTACTCGATTTACTTTTGCTAGAGTATTGTGCTATTGTGTTTAATAAGCCATTTGAATCATAAATCTAATGAGCTATGTGCATGGCTGGTCTTGTTCTTGCAAGAATCCGGAAAAGAACCTGAGGCATGGTGACCTACTCAGCAGGGTTATGCACAGTTTAACAAGAGGATAGGTGAAATCCTTCCAACCATATTATTCTACTGGGCTGTTTGGAACATAGTTAAAATCTTGGGTGTAATCATCTTCTGGTTTTGGTCCTTTTTCTCCAGTAGGAAGAAGAAAGCTATCATTGCCATAGCCAAATCATTCCACTGGGACTGGGCTTCAGGGGGCCTCAGAGCTCAACGCTAACCCCCATGCTCTTTAATATCTATAGCAGGCCATTCATTGAGAACATCCAGAGCTGTGGAGTCAGTTATCACCATTATGCAAATGATACACAGCTATGCATCTCTATCTACAGCTCCTTCTGTTATAAAGCTGTCTTTGGATGCACTGGTCAAGTGGATGCAGGAGACCAAGCTGCACTGAATCCAGGCAAGACAGAGATAGTCCTAGATGGGAAAGCAGATGTTCTTGAGAGGAATGATATGACTCGTTGAATGGAATTAAGCTTTCGTATTCAGATAAGAGGGAAAGGGTTTAAGATTTATCCTGGACTCCTCTCTTTTTTTTTGGAGTTGCAGTTGGGAGCTTTTGCCAGGATTTCTGTTTAATCATCTGCACTTCCTGGACTCCACTGACCTAAGTATACTGATCCACACTTCTGTAACCTTCAGGTAGGATTACAGTAACGCACTTTATGTGGAGCTTCCCTTGAAGACAGACCAGAAGCCGCAATTACTGCAGATCAGTAATCTGCCTTGTAACTGGTGAGAAGCAGACACACACAACACCAGTTTAGAAACAATGGCTGCTTATGTGCTTCTGGCAGTTCAGGATGATGTATTTTAAAGTCCTTTAAAGCTGGGGCAAAATAAACCTAGCATAGCTAACTAGCATACAGCAAGCTTCTACTCAGTCAGTCCTTTATGATAAATAAGAATTGCCTCCGGTTCATCAAGATGGGAAGATTTTGGGAACTGAAAGGAAGCTGGTTCTTTTCTCTCTTTTGTAAAAAAAACACAAAAACCCACGACTACCATATATATTTGTGAATACAGAACAGGTAAATGTTTATGGGCTAGTAAGTTTTGAGGGAGCTGAGGTGGCTTAAGTGGTTAAGACACTGAACTGCAGGCTGTGAAAGGTCAGTAGTTCAGCAGTTCAAGACCCGGGTGCCGTATGACGGAGTGAGCTCCCGTCTCTAGTTCCAGCTCCTGCCAACCTAGCAGTTCGAAAGCAAGAAATTGCAAGTAGATAAATAGGTACCACTTCGGTGGGAAGGTAACAGCGTTCTGTGCGTTTTGGTGTTTAGTCATGCTGGCCACATGACCACGGAAATGTCTTCGGACAGCGCTGGCTCTTCGGCTTTGAAACGGAGATGAGCACCGCAACCCTAGAGTTGGACTCGACTGGCTTTCGAGCAAGGGAACCTTTACCTTTTTAAGTTTTGAGGACCCTTCAGCAAGGCTGGCAATAAAGCATGAATAAAAGACAGGCTGCATTAGATGTACAGGAAGCCCTGCAGCCTTACCCTAACTTCTGACTACTTGCTTTTGCAATGCCAAGACAGTTGCTGAATCCATGCAAGATTATGTGCTTGCCCTCAGGAGAAAGGCCACTGCCATTTCCCCTGGCAGTGGTGTGATGTTGACTCAGAAGAATCTTAAAGGAGAGCACCTCCTTCCCTCCATGTACAAGACTATTATTATTGCTGGAACAAAGAACATGCTGGAAGCTGTTATTCTAGCAAACACATATCCAAAATGTAAGCATCCAAAATGTAAGCATAAATGAAGATATTACTTCCGCCCACCCCACAATAAACTATGGTTTCTTGAAAGAGGCAGAACCCTTACAATAGACTACAATCTTAGTGCTCTTTAGATTTTTTCTCCAATCTTAATGTGTTTATTACCTGCTTTAAGTGGTGTGTATGCAAATGTTTAATATTTTTGTGAGTTATCCTAAATGCTACATATATCTCTGTATCTATAACCTGTCTTTCTATTATCTATATACCTACATATCCATATCTATATATAACAGGCCTTTCTACTGTATAATCAGTGTTTGTGCATGCCTTATATATAGTGTGCTTATGTCTCCGCATAGCAGAACAGCTTATTAATATTTTAGATTTAAAAAACAGACAAGTGCCACTCTTATATCGACAAAGAAGAACACTAATGAGTACAAGGTGGAAATAACTAAAAGAAATGGTTTTATTCCTTACCTAGATTGCAGTAATGCCCAGAAGATTCCACTGTTTCTGCCAATTGTGTTTTCATTGGAATTTATTGTCAGACAGTTTCCCTGGGCAGTCCACAATACTGAAATTTAATCAGAATGGTGATCAGCAAGGGAAGAAAGTAATCTAGGGCTTCCTCACACATTATATTAACCACATCACATGGTATATGTGGGCACAGGAAGGCACAGGAAGGAGAAACAGCGATCAAGGTCTCAACATCATATCCAGATTTCATCAAGAAGTGACATCACAATGTTCTAGGAATTCCCAAAACTCTATGGTAAAAACATAGGGTTTCAGGGACATACTAAGGCATTGTTACTACTTCCAGGTGAAACCTAGAAGTGATGTGTAATGATGTTATTTAACATCTACATGCGCCCCCTTGCCCAGATTGCCCTGTGGTATGGGCTGGGATGTCACCAGTATGCTGATGACACCCAGCTCTAGCCGCTGTTAGGTGGCCAGTTGGACTCCACACCAGATGATCTGGATGGTGCTTTGCAGGCCGTGGCTGGTTGTCTCAGACTGAGTCGGCTGAAATTAAACCCGGCAAAGACAGAGGTCCTGGGGCTGGGTCGGATCGGTCCGGGGTTGGGGCTTCCTCTCCCGACCTTCGACAGGGCGCCATTGGTGCCAGCATCGGAGGTTATGAGTTGTGTGCTCCTGGACTCCTCGCTAACGATGGAGGCTCAGGTAGCAGCCACTGCCAAGTCGGCCTTTTACCATCTTCGGCTGGTGCGGCAGTTTGTTCCTTTCCTTGACCACGATGACATGGCCACAGTGATCCATGCAACAGTCACCTCGAGGCTAGACTACTGTAATGCTCTCTACATGGGGCTGCCTGTTGCAAATTCGGAAGCTGCAACTAGTGCAGAATGCTGCAGCCAGGCTGCTGATGGGTCTTCCTAGACGAGATCACATCCGGCCTGCGCTGAAAACGCTGCACTGGTTGCCAATAGCGTACCGGATTAGCTTCAAAGTGCTGGTCCTCACCTTTAAAGCCCTATATGGCTACCTAAGGGACCGCCTTTCCCCACATGTTCCCCCAAGGGCACTACAGTCGGGGAATCAAAACCTAGTGGATGTTTCAAGCCCCAGGACTACCAAACTTGCGATGACCAGGGCTAGGGCGTTTTCGGTGGCGGCTCCTATCTGGTGGAATGAGCTCCCAGGGGAGATGCGGGCTCTGCGGAACCTAGTACAGTTCCGCAGGGCCTGTAAGACGGAGCTCTTCCGCCAGGCTTTCGAATAGGAGCCGCCACCATCACTGTTCCATCAACACCCTATAATTTCCGCATATTGCTACCGCTGGTGCGGGTACCATCGGAGGGAACGGGATGCTTTTAGGGGACGACAGGACAGTGGGGATACACACTGCTGTGGTTGTTTAGCTATACTATTGAGAACACCATCTTGGTCTTAAAATCTGGAATTGAGTAGGGGAGCACCGAAAATGTCTTTTTATGACTTCTATTTAACTGTCTATTTTGTAATTTTAACATTTTATACTGTTTTATTGTTATTATCTGGCATTATGCCTCTGTTAGCCGCCCTGAGCCTTCGGGGAGAGCAGGATATAAATCCAAATAAATAAATAATAAATAAATAAATGTATCTGATTATTTATCTTCAGCCACATTATCTAGAAAGTTTTGATTTTTAAAAAATGAAAAAGAAGTGTAGATAGTTTTTTATTTTGAAAGGATCTTTTAAAGTTCTTTTTCTCAAATGATCATTTAAGTTCTTTTTCACAGACAGAAGTCCCACCTGCCAAACAGCAAACCTCTTATGAACCTGTAAAGGATTTAAAAATCAGTTTGTGACATGACAAGCACAGGTGGGTCTGCCATTCAAATGGAAACCAAGACTAAAGAAACAAAACCCGGTGGCAAACCTAGGCCCTCCTAAAGTAGCTCTTTGGATCCCAGCTACACTGCAGACTTTTTCAGCAAGAGCTGAAAGCCCTCAGAAAGATATAAAAGGAAGTATGGGATACAAAATGAAGGCAAGACTTACTAGCAGCTGCTATGCCAAGGAAAACAGAGGCTGTGTAGAAGCTCCATGGATATGGTTCAATAAAGACAGCTATATATATGCTGAAACATAATAATGCAGTGTTCAGTTTTAACATGCACTATATCATACCTGCTATAACTCTTTCATATTAGCTGTTCTGCTATGCTATCTAAACCTGTACAAACAAGAACAATTACCGTAAAAAGTTTACAGAGTTGTGACAGCCTGAAATCACCTAGCTTCCAGATCACCTCAAAACATTAGAAAAAGAACATGCTGATTGGTTGCTGGGAAACAATGCTCAGGCTGCAGGAACCAGCTGATTGAACTTCATTAAATACAGTCCTCATGCAATCATCACAGTTACGTCTGATAATATATATTCTTATGACAGCCAGAATTTTGTTCACAAAATATTGGAAATCGGAAAATATTACAATGAAGGAGGAATTAATATAAAGACTATTAGAGATGGCAGAGATGATTGACTATTCTATTATAAGGGAAAGATGAAGAGACTTATTTGAGACTTTGGTCAAGAGTGTATAACTGGATACAAAGAATATTGGAATATTAAGGCTCTCACAATTGTATTTGTAATGGTAAGCGTAAAGATTGTGCTAACTGGTAAAAGTTTAAAATAAATCTTCAAAAGTAAAGGGTTTCAGTATCCATAGACAATAACAGCAAAAGGTATTTTTCAACTGAGTACCAAAGTTCAGGTCTATATAATGCAGATCTCTTTATGTTTCTGTAAACAGCTCTAAACATTCCTTCCCAAAAAAGGTTTTTCTTGTTGTCCCCAGTGCAAAGTCTCTTCCAACCAAGGAGTGAGACTAATCAGAACTTAGTTTGGGGCCATTTCAGTTGTGGCCTATAGAATTACCTTCCCTCTGAGACCAGACCTTGTAGGCCAAGCACAACCATTTTACTTTAATGTGCTTTTAAAGAGTAGCTGCTGTGGTTCTTATGGAAGTGTTCTGAGGATGTGAGAGGCCTCCAGGCAGCATGCAAAGCTTCCTGCATACACTTTGGAAAGGGGCTTGCCAGTGCATAGCAAGTACCAGCTAGACAGGAGATGACAATGCTTGGGGCACTATGAAATTTGAAAAATTAAATCAGAGGGTTGCTAATGTTTGAGAAGCACAGGTCTAAAACAGTTTCTCATATCCAATCACCTGCAAAAAGAATACAAGTTAATCTGAAACCAAGGTTTTCATGTCCTTAAAACACTTGGCGTGACACACTGTCTCAAGCTGACAGTCTTTATTTTGTTTCATACATATTCCATGTATTTTACTAGAAGCTGAAAGTAGCATATTGGCTTCACAACAACCCCGTGAGGTAAGTTTAAGCTGAGAGCAAGTAGACTTATCCAAGCTCCCACAATTGTACAAGGATTTGAACCGGAGTTTTCTAGGACCAAGACCAATGCTCTGAACACTCCCTGTATGTTCTCTCTGTCCCCCTCCCCTTTTCTAGACTAGCTGTGCATTTGTATCTCATCTCTCCTCCAAGAAGCGCATACAGTTCTCTCTTCCCTGTTTTATACTCACAACCATCATGAAATAGGGTAGGCTAAAAAAAAGGGACTAGCCTAAGGTAAGGAGAAAAAAAAGAGACTAGCAAGATTCATGGGAAAGCAGGGGTCTTTGACTGAAATCCTTGGTCTTTTATTCCAAAACCAACTATAGGCAAAGAATGCTAAGTTTTAGGGGATGAATAGCTTATATTCTGCAACATGACCAATGGAAAAGCAATACCAGTGACTCTGCAGTAACTTGTATCCTAGGTTCCTCAGCCAATAATATTGTGTTCAAGGATATAATGTGTCTTCTAATGTGTATGTATTTTATACTGTAATTTATATGCACTTTCTGCTCGTGTGGGCCGCCCTGAGCCCGCTTGCGGAAAGGGCGGGGTATAAATGTAATGAAAATAAAATAACTTTAAAAAAAAAATGAAAGAGGAAGAGGCAGAGAGATAAAAACAAACCTGTACAAGGTTTTACTTACCTATAAAAGATGCCACTAGAAAACATAGAGAGCTGTGGCCCTGCAATTGCAACCACTGAAGGTGAAATAAGATTTGATGCTGAGAAGACTCCATAAATAATGGCCATGCTGCAGAAAGCAACCACAATTATGAATAAGTACGTAAAATAAAGTCCAGAAGGCTTCTTGATGCTAATTTTAAACACTGTCCTTTCAAGATATCTAAATTCGTAAAGAGTGCTGTGTTATTCTTGCCTTATTTATCTTTCACTTTTGTAACATACTGATTAAAGCACTGTGTGCATTCAGAGGTTTACAATGGAATATAGATATTTGCGACACATGAACAAAATTGTGTAGCTTCCCCATTGCTGTTACATTCACCAATACAGTGCAACAGCATCGGGGCTTCCATATGGTAGTTTTCCCTGAAGTTTCCCTGTCACATTCCCCAGTAATGGCCACCAGCCTTTTTGCAATTCTTTTTCTAATCAGCAATTGAATGTCAGTATAACAATCACTGCATCGGGTTCTCTGAATTCCCAATTTTCATTCTTTCAAAAAGTAAACCTCTAGCACCTTCCACTGCAGATATATAAAGGGAAATGCATATCTCTGAAATGACAAGGGTTAGATATTTTTGAAAAAATGGAAGCTGGGGATTCAGAGACCTTGATAAAGAGATTGCTGTAACATTATAATGATACAAGAGGGAATCCACAACAAAATGTTGCTGGAGCACAAGCCCTCCCCCGGCACGGTTGATGCGGGTGGCGGAAGCTGGTGGCTGGCTTTGGTCGCTTCTCCCATGTGCCACTGTTCCTGCTGCCGGTGCTGCTTCCTCCTCTCCCTCACCTAACAAAGTTGCAGCTTAAAACAAAAAGGGGAAAAAAGCATGCGAGGCAAAAAGCTGGCAGGGCAGCCCACCGAGTGGCTGCTCAGTGCTATGTTTGCATGCTCACTGAGCTTAGCCACTCCTCCAGTGCTGCTGCCCCTTTGAACAGCGGTCGCGGGAGTGCCCCTACCGACCTACTGTTTACTAGCAGTCCTGACGGTGGCGGGGATGGTTCCCACAGCAGTGGTCTCTGTGACAACATGGATGGGTCTTGCTGCGGCAGGCCGAGCAGCAGTTGGGACGGGTATTGCCATTGTGGCTTACCTTGTGGCTCCAACGGCTTTTCCTGGCAGTCCTAGCAGTGACGCGGGCAACAAGAGAGACAGTTGCTTTTCCCGCGGCTCAGTAAGCACGCATGAGCACAGAACGCAGTTTTACTTTTGAGGGAATGTAAGTATCCCCTGTACACTTTTAAAAACATTTTAGATTTTTCTGCACACCTGGGGATTGCCCCAAGTGTGCAGAAAAACCTCTTTACCCTCCATGTGCCCCAGATCTGTGGAAATAAGTATCTGCACACACAGGGGACCCTTGGCTATTAGATATATAGATTCAACTGCCAGTTTAAAAAGAACAACTCCCCCCGTCCTTTGCACAATGACATCACGTATGGCATGATCTGAAAGAGATGCAAGGAGGTGATGCTCTAGCATTCTCCGAAAACTCGTGAGGTTTAACCACAGAGTTCTGGCTGAATGCGAGATAGTAACTAATGTATTGGTTTAACTTCCAGATCACGCCAATTGCACTTCCCCCATTTCACCCAGGCATTTCCTCCCCCCACCCAGCTAAGCAGTAGTAGACAATGGGAGCTGGAGGTGGGAGATTCCCTCTATGAAGGAAGCTGGCAACCATACTTTACAGATATAGGCCGGTCTGCCATCTTGCTCCAGCATGTTTTCCCGAGAAACAACTGCTTACCCTAACCCTGAGCTTTCAGTGCCGCTTGACCTAGCTTCTTCACAGTTCCAAGTAAAAGCGGGGGGATGCCTAATTTAAATCCTACAAAAAGTTAATGAATTCTAAATTTTAAGCGCACATATTAAATAAACATTTTAAAATGTTCATATTTCTTGACTGCTAGTTCATCCTATGGATGCAGAAAAGCATCATATAAATACATCCTACTGTTACCCTAAGACTACTGGGAGAATTGTATATCTCAGTCGCACTGACTTCTGTGGGATTTTTTTTTGTGGCTTTGCAACCCACTTACCTCAGTGGTAAGGTTGCCAACTCCAATGTGGTAAATTCCTGAAGATTTGGTTGAAGTTCCTGAGAAGGGCAAAGTTTGGAGAGGGAGTATAACAGGGATGTGATGCCTTACAGTCCACACTCCAAACCTGCCATTTCCTCCAGGAAAGGGAACTGATCTTTGCAGTCCGGAGATCAATTGTAATTCCAGGCACCACCTGGAGGCTGGCAACCCAGTCAATGGGAGTACACCAATATCAAGTTGATAATAACACATTTGTGTACCATAGTTTTACAGGCCTAATCCCCATGAGACAAAAAACGAGAATGGCTCCCCATGTTCTGTTCTGCTAGAGGAGGTTGTTTCTTCCAGGGGAAGGTCCTTTTGCTGATGCAAGGCACTTGAGGTGTTTTTCATCAGTGGAAGGTTCATGACACTAGATTAAAGTGCCTTCATTAGCAGAACAGTTTGGAGGATCCAGCCCACTCTTCCCATTTTACAGATTCTGGGTCACAATCAGATTTCATTCACTCATATGGTGCAACTCAACAGAAACAAAAGAAAAAAAATATTATGAGTGTTAGGTACCTGGTATAGCCACTGCCATGAAAATCTGTGTTGTTCAAATTTGTGATAACAGTTTGCTGTGGAAAGAAATTTTAAGAATGAATTATGTGAAGATTCTGCAGAAATCATTTTCAAAAGATAAAACTCCAGATGCAGAACAGAACCAACAATCAAAGTATACAGCTCAATAACAAGGTTGTTCACGCTTATTAAATATCAACATGGTTTGATCGATGCTACTGTTACGCCCCTTTCCAAGGTACAAAGACTTGCCTTGCTGCTAGGGCTTGAAAACAGGATATCATAATCTCACTCTGCCACAGAGACAGAAGAATGACCAAAGATTGATACACTCAACTGCTTTTGCAAACTGTTATCTGAGTTCCCTGAATATTGTACTTGGGCCTATGTGTGTTGCTAAAACAAGTTTGCCACAAATATGGGAATGAAGGATGGGATGAGGTGTATCTGTAGAAAACAGTGGTCTGTGAGAAGTGCTCTTGACTTCATATTCCCCTAGAAGCACTAGAAAAATTAGAGGACGGCCCTCCCCCTACCCTGTCTATTTAGTAGCCAGGAAACTTCATGTATTGGATGGGAGTGGTTGAGGACAGGTAACCATATTTCTCAAATGGATGTGGTTTTAGTTGGAGGGGAAAAAGAGATGTAAAAGTTGGCAGCTAACCACTCTCAAACTCTGCAAAATAAATTGGGAAGTTAAACAAGGAGGTAATTAAATTCTTTGAAATGGACACTTCAAGCAACATTTTGGGGGTAGCTGTGCTGGTCTGCAATAGAACAGCTAGAATTGAGTTGTCAGCTATTTGACAAAGGGAGCTTTGACTCTCAAAAACTTATATCCCCAAAATCTTGTACATCTCTTAAAGTGCTAGTGGACTTGAATCTAGCACTTCAAGCAAATACATTGAATGATCATTTTCTAAACACCGTGTTAATGTTTTAATGTCACTTCTGCTTCGAGTAGCAGATTGCCTTAATAACTGTTTTATATCAAGCAGGAGACAAAGTAATAAAATGGGTTACATTGGCCATTCTACCTACACTAAAAAATAAATAGAAGTCTCAAAAGGAAAGGAATGCATGCAAGAGAAAGAAAAAAGGATATGTGCACATTAGTACTTACTGCAGTGTTTCCACATGTTTGGAAAGCAGTGAACATAAACATAAAGGCTACTCCTAAAACAATGACGTTCAACTGCTTTTTAGATTCAGGATGCATTTTGTGTTCTCATGGAATGTGATCAAACTGAACTGGAGGAATGTTTCATCTTCTAAGCTTCTTTTTTTAACAAAAATTCTGCCAAGACAACAAGAAATCACAAACAGATATTATTTTAAATTCATTACTATTAACAATGATTTTCTGACAAAGTAAGATAATGTCTGCACTGTAACAAAATACAACAGCAAAACGAAACATATCAGCTTAGATTCTCTGTACCTTTCATAAGAAGAGTTGCCGCAGATTATAGCTTGTTATTTGTCCAGCACAGCTTTCCTCGCAAAGAAACATTCTGCAGCAACTTCTTGAACGCTTTGGTTTCTCACAGTATTTCTGAGTCAGTTTTGCCCAAAAAGCATCAAATCACCTGACAAGGACAGGCGCTCCCATACACAAACCATTTCTATTCATGGACAGGAAATAAAGACTAGTTCACACACCAAGTCAGCTGATCAAAAAACCCTTGTGAATTCTGGGAAATGCAGTTCTAGGCTTTCCTTTACTAAAATCAGGAAGAACAAGTGAAAGCAACATAAAAATACTTTTTTCATATTGCATTGCATTGATTACTATTAATCATCCATACAGTCTTATTCATGAAATGAAGAATGGAAAATTAAGCTCACTACGTTATCATTAAGAAATCATTTTTTTAATATTGAGGCAAATTATGGTATCTGTGCACAGTGACCTACTGGGAACCTGTCTTGGGTGCTTTGATGCTAATTTAAGAAAAGAAACTATTTAATTTTGTTGGCAGTAAAAAGAAGTGATAAAGGAATCCCTCAGCTTGATTTGGAACTGACAGGGGGGGGGGGATCACGTATTTCTGAGGGGTTTCTTCCAGCTCAGCTAGGAGTATACAGTTCGGGTGTTCGTAACTAAGGTACTCCTCAAAGGACCTAGGGCTTATTTACATGTTCAGGCAAATCATGCACTGTGGAATTCTGGAATAGTACCATTTCAAACTCCAGGTATAAAATGGCATACAGGAATGTTCCTCCATATCAAAAACTTTTCCTGGCGCACTATTTCTCTATCTGCAGGGATTTTTATATGTGATGGAGTATTCCAACATTTAAGAACAGGAGTAAAAGCAGCATTCTAAAACTACTACTGAAAAAGAAAAATACAGACCACCAACTGATTTCAAAGACCTTTCAGAACATATCTAGAAGGCAATGGATAAAAAATCATTGTCATAAGCACCCACCAACCTTTATGAAGGCTCTCAATGTAGTGCATCACCACCTGATATCAAATCTTGGATACATTTACATGAATGGAGACTATCTTTCAAATACCTTGATGCAAACTTAGAGACATAAAATTTCTGGAAATTTTGAAGCCACAGAAGCAGCCGAAATTTGGGGGGAAACTAAAATGTATGCAATACTTACTTTCCTAAGTAATCTAAACTTCATTTACTGATTTAACAGCATAAAATGCACTGTTTCTAACTTAGTATATAATACTTACAGTGCAATCCTATGAAGCCTTACTATAGTCTGTCCACTGAAATCCATTATTTTATACGGATGGATGATCCCTGGATCCAGCCCCTGCCACATTTTGGACCAACTGAAGTTTCCAAGCACTTTTCAAAGGCAATCCCATATAAAGTGCAGAGAGTCAGTTTGGTGTAGTGGTTGAGTGCGTGGATTCCAATCTGGGAGAATCGGGTTTGATTCCCCACTCCTCCACTTGCACCTGGCTGACCTTGGGCAAGCGTAGTTCTGATAAGCTGTTCTTGAAAAAAGAGCAGTTTCTGTCAAGAGCTCTCTCAGCCCACCTACCTCACAGGGTGTCTGTTGTGGGGAAGGGAAGGAGTTTGTAAACTGCTCTGAGACACCTTTGGGTAGTGAAGGGCAGGGTATAAATCCAATCTTTTCTTCTATAGTAATGTAACTCAGATGAGATCAGAACATGGATCACCATTGCCCCATTAAACTTTGTTCAATGAGACTCACTCCTAGTAAAGTGTGTACAGGATCAGCAAATGCAATTTTAATATATTTTATCCCAGACTATATGTAGCCAATAAAGGCACCAGTTTTATCAGACTACCTAATTCCTGTCAGTGTTTATATCTGAAATTTAAGATAATTATCCAAATTCTTTGAGGATGCCTATAGCATGTCCAGTACCTGTGGATTTAATGAGTGAGCCAGTGTGGTATAGCGGTCAGTGTCAGATTAGGATCTGGGAGAGCCAGTTTTGAAGAAAGTCCAAAGTCACTACACAGAGGCAGGCAATGGCAAACCACCTAAGAAGTCACCATAAGTCTGCTGTGACTTGATAATTAAAAAAACCCACAAAAGATGAGAGACTAACTACTACTACTCACTCACATTTCACAGACACATTATCCAGTGCATGTTTTGTGTCAATTTGGTTGGTATTAATAAAAGGTATTATACTGATTTCGTACTATTTTTGTATGAACCCATACAGTTCTTTACAATTTTTTTCTACTTAGAACCAGTGTTCCCGCTAAACTGAGTTAGTGTGAGCTAGCTCACAGTTTTTTAGACTCCAGCTCACACATTTTTGTCTTAGCTCAGGATAGAGGGCTCCAGAACAAACTAATTTATGCAGTAGCCAAATCACTTGCTCACAACTTTAATGCGAGTAGCTCGCAAAGTAGGATTTCTGCTCACAAGACTCCACAGCTTAGATGGAGCATTACTTAGAACTAAGTCCCATCGAGTTCAGGGCGCTTACCTTGGGGCCAGTACAAAGGACTACAGAGCATACTGCTGCCTACTACAGTGCGGCAACTAGAAAAAGTCGGCGCCACCCGGCACTCTTTCAACCAACCTTTCCTTCACGCACACAACGTGCTTCCGTAAGACGTTAAGGCGTGCCCGCCCCATTATCAGTACCCCCCCGCGACCGCCCGCCGCAGCCATTTTGGAACCAGTGCTTCCATGCTCCGTTTATTTCACGTCACACCAAGTTTTTTAGAATAAATATATAATCTATACCTTAAGAAGCAATGAACCGAAGTCTAATATTCGGTGACATTTGAATGAAAAAACCATATCTTTTCAAATATGTGTGGAAAGGAAACGTGTCACATAATTTCTTCCGGGGTTTCGCATAACGGTCTCCAAATGTTCAAAGTCGATACTTTATCTTTTTTATAGGTACCAATTATTCTTAACGGCGCCGTTGAGTATCAGCCATTCTCTTGAAAGCGAAACATTTTTTTACCCGAATTAAGATGTGGCGGGGTTTACCATGAGTTACTTCCGGGTCATCGGGAGCCATTTTGTGCTGCTTAAGTGGTTGTGGAAGGGCGGCGTCTCGTTCATTTGCTCGTGGCGGCAGTCGGAGATGGTGGCGCTTGAGTAAGTCTAGGCCGCAGCCATTAAAGCCTATCGGCCGACGAAGCAACAAACCTTAGGCATCTAATTGCACAGCTTTCTTTGGCGATTCTGCTGTGGCAGCCCCCCCTCCCCTTTTATTTTGGCTATCGATATGAGTTACGGGCGGCCGCCGCCAGACGTGGAAGGCATGACGTCGCTGAAGGTAGATAACCTGACGTATCGTACCTCTCCAGACACGCTACGCCGCGTTTTCGAGAAATACGGCCGCGTGGGGGACGTGTACATTCCCCGGGATCGTTATACTAAGGAGAGCCGCGGTTTCGCTTTCGTCCGCTTTCATGATAAACGCGACGCCGAGGACGCCATGGATGCAATGGACGGAGCCGTGCTCGACGGGCGGGAACTCCGCGTCCAGATGGCCCGCTACGGCAGACCCCCGGATTCTCACCACAGCCGACGGGGACCCCCTCCGCGTCGCTACGGAAGCGGAGGCTATGGACGTCGCAGTAGGAGGTGGGGATTCGGGAGTAGAGAGGGGCAGTTCGAGGAGAGGCCTCTGGGCCGGAAACATAGCCATCGTTTGAGAGGGAAGCCAAGCCTACCGGGAGGGGGGGAGGGGATCCACCAAAGAGGCACAAAAGCGCTTTGAGTGGCGAAGAGGAGTTGCGTAGCCTATGATGGTTGGATCGGAAGGGAGGCCGAAAAGCTGGAAGTTGAGAGGGGAAGGCGTGTAGAGATTTCGGGGTGGGAGGAATAGGCTTGATCCCTAAAGTTATGGGGAGGTTGGCGGGAAAGAAATTAGGCCACGTGGTTGTAGGCGCGGCAGTAACCGAACGTGCCGCCTACAGTTTCGCTTTTTTAGCGCCTTAATTGCATTTCCCAAACGCGATCTCAGTTCCCGATTTATTTTTTATTCATCTTTCCCCCATGCAGCCCTAGAAGGCGGCGCCGGAGTCGATCTCGAAGTAGAAGCCGATCAAGATCCCGTAGCAGGTCACGCTACAGTCGTTCTAAGTCCAGATCTCGCACACGGTCTCGGTCTCGTTCCACCTCCAAGTCCAGGTCGGCCAGGAGGTCAAAGTCCAAGTCGTCCTCTGTGTCCAGATCTCGTTCCCGGTCGAGATCCCGATCGAGATCAAGAAGTCCTCCTCCTGTCTCAAAGAGAGAATCAAAGTCCAGATCCCGTTCAAAGAGCCCCCCTAAGTCTCCAGAAGAGGAAGGAGCTGTGTCATCCTAGGAAAATGGTAACGTGATCGATGATCTACTACACTTGCATGCTTTGTTTTATTAGATTAAGTGGGTACTGAATCCTCCATGTAGTATCCTAGACCAAGTAAATGGGGCATTTGGTTAACTTTACAAGAGGGTGTTTAGTTTATGGCTACTGCAATAAATTTCCAAAGGGATTTTTGCCAAGGATGTCTTTGTGTGTTGTTACAATTAATACCTTGCTTTTTAATAACTGTTTTAGTCACAACCTATTTCTGAAAATGACTATTTCTTACTGTTCTTATCCAACATCTGCATTTTCCCCTTTAAAGCTGCGGTCTCCTGTTTGCTTAAAGAATATTGGCCAGTATTGCAGATTTTAACTGATTTGGCTGATCCTCCAGGGACCAGTTTCTGTGGGCGTGTATTGGAGCAGGTTTGTCTTTAAATGTTAAAGATACACTATCCTGTTAATAAAGTCCTTTGGTTACCATATTCAGCAGTGACAAATTAGTGCGAAAGTCAGAATGCAAGTTATTATGGAAGCCAGTATCTTCTCCAATGCAATTGTGGGCCTTTAAGAATATACAGGGTGGGGAAAATGGATAGTGTGTCTTTAACCTCCCTCAAATTGTTTGGTCCAGTTTTTTCAAAGGAAGGGGGCCTAGAATTCTTAAAAGATTGCGCAGCTACTAAGGACTCTAAAAAGGTTTGAATAAGAGCTCATGCGTAATCTAATCTGTATCAGGCTGAATTCAGGTTAAGGGTGGTTTGATCACAGCCTGACATGATAATGTGATTAGTGGAGATTCAATAGTATCTCCAAAAATCTCATGACCTCTATAATAGTACCACTGTGATGGTGGGAGGTGGGACTTGTACAATTTCTATAAAATTTGGTAAAAATAGATAAGGCCAGTACTGCTGGGAATCTGAAAGCAGCCATAACATATTGAAGACATGCAAGATGTGCCCTGGCTGAACTATTCCCTTTTCAAATCTAGATGCATCAGATAGATGAAAAGTCTACATAAAGGATGCCTTTGGAGGAGAAATGACCATAAGAATCACCAGTCCATTGGAGAGACCCTTGGCACAAGCAACCGACCATTGAAAAGGTTATTTTGTAACACTTTGTTTAACTTTTTTCTTTACTTTGAGCCTCAGATGGCAGACTTTTACTTTTATGTGCCATTTTGTTCCTGTTATTCAAATTTCTTGTAATTTAGTGAAGTGAACGACTACAGATTTCATTATTGGCTTGGATATTTGAGGTAAAATTTCATTTTTGTTCATATAGTGCTGACTTGTTTGCAAATAAATTGGTAACTAACTCGCTGCCTCAAGTTTTTAATATAACCAACCATGCAGCTATAATATGCTGATTAGCTTTATGCTGTCCAAATGTTCAATTTTTGCTGTTTCTCAAATTCTGAAACTTTTAAATTCAAATGTATTTTGCAGATTCAGTTGAAATAGTGTCTTCAAGTCAAACATTAAACTTTTCAGGTTATTTTAAAAGATTTGCTTTATCAGACAAAATTCTAATCTCTTCTCTTATGTATTTTTGTGCACTAGGCGCAGTTGTGTAGCAGTTGAGTAATGCTGGTTAGCTGTTAAGGTGGCGTGTTGCAGTGCAGAGTGCTTGGCTGTTTCCTGTTTTCTCCTGATTGCTCCTGTAATGATGCCTTGTCGTGCAGAAACAAATGGCTGTCCAGTTAATTATAATTGCCTGACAACTGCACTTCCAGTCACCCGGGCCTTGCATAAAAATAACGGAGCATACAGTGAGCACATCTAGCTGGTGATATACACACCTTATTTTTTACAGAATGGTAAATTAGACCATCTACAAATGTGAACTTGCATACAAAAATGTTAACGCTAAAGCATTGATCCATTCCTCTGTAAGTACCAGTTCGGTGTATCTTAAAACATTCTGTAATATAACCACTGTCTGTAGTTAATAAAACACTTCCTTGGTGTTCAGTTTCTGAACTTTAATGTCCTGCATCAACTTTCTGTGGGTGGTGGCTTAGTTTACACAACAATCTCTTACGAATCCATTTTGCATCTTTGCCTGCAAAGCCAATCACAATGGCCTAACCACTTATTTATGCTTTTTGGTCATTAAGTAAAGAACAGCCAGGTGGCACTTCTGAATTGACTCGAATGAGTATACTTTGTGCACAGACTTCACATTATGGTAAGAGGCCAGAGACCAGTCAAATTTGAGAGGAGCCTCAGTTATGAAAGAAAAACTCCTTACAATAGTAGTTCATATTAAGTGGGCTTTGGTCCTGATTAACAAATGTCGATGAGGTAGTTTTAATGTAAGCACTTCAACAAAAAGCAACCATTAAGAACATAACGGAAGCCAATGTTGGATCAGGCCAATGGCTCATCCAGTCCAACACTATGTCACACAGTGGCCAAAAATATCAGGTGGCATCAGGAGGTCCATCAGTTTAGTAATTTTCGAAGAAACACATGGTATATTTAGAAATGTTAAGGTAGTTTTCAAACTCTTACATGGTCACTTTAGTGATGACCATCATTTCAATTGTGTGTCTTCCTGGAAGAGGAGAGTCTGCAAGTTGTTCCTTGTTGGCCTCGAATGACTGTAAGGGCACAAAAATGCTTTCCATTTCCCATTTGTAGAGTAATCCTTGGACAGACCAGTCAGCACTGAAAAGACAATATTTTCAGCAGTAAAGAAATTTGTAAACATTTGTCATTCAAAACCTGACTGCAGGTGAGCAAGCCTGTGCTTTAGACTGGCTTCTAACGCTTAAATTCTATAATCATGCCTCTGTTAGGTTAACAAGAAAAAAGATACTGTGGTAAGCAGCATCAGAAATACGGAGAAAATGGTGATACAGATTTGCCTTTGGGGGCATGGTATCCATGTGGCATCCCAGGTTCTCTGTTCAATCCCCAGCATTTCCACATCAGGAGAACAGCAGGTGATAGGAAATACCTGTCTTAGCTGCTGCCAGTTGTGGGAGACAGTACTGACAGGCTAATAATCTGACTAGGACAGCTTTGTGTGTTCATGTGGCTGAAATAAGTTTCAGTAAGTGGAAACCTGGCATAACAGTACCTTCTAACTTGATGAGTAGTCCAGAACTGAGAACATGGATTCTTCTCCATTAAGTAGTGCACAGTACTTATCACATCTTCAAAGTCTGTAATGCAAATAAATATTGTAATTGATGGATATTTTTTAAACTCAATGGTCCTGCAAAGGGAAGATTCTTAAAGAAATTTAGTATACAACATCACTAATGCCTTTTTATATGTTGTCCTTTTGCTGTACTTGAACATCTATATATGGCAACAATTTTTAGCCTACACACTTTATAGGGGCTTGTAAAGCTGAACTAGAAACAAAAGAATGCACAGACCTTGCAAGCCATGAACTTTCTTGAGAATAAAACTTTTTGAAGAGGTATGTCTAGCGCACACACCCCTTTAACCTAAAAATGGGTTGCCATTTCATGGGTCAGGAAGCTTTGTTTGAGACTGCACTATATTCTGTAGCCATAGCTGTGTCAATTTATCCAAGAGATTGATCAAAATATCATCCCTTGCAGATGGTTGCCATTCAAAACACAAATGCTATTCAGCTCAAAGGAACGGAAAGAGAATATTTTTCAGTTTGATTTGATTTATTAGATTTCTATCCTGCCCTCCCAGCCGAAGCTGGCTCATACATTTTGCATTTAATGTACAAAATATATTCTCAGAAATACAGCAGTAGATAAACATGAGCCCATGTCAATTCCAACTGAATGCATACCTTCTGGTTCAAAAAATACATCTGATGCCAAAATAATGTCTACTGGAGGCAAGGCCAATAGGGCAGGTGATATCTGACCCCAGGTGAGTCCTGTTACCAATACCCCAGAGAGATTATTCATCTGACAGCTTCGATGACAGTTGTCCAGACACTGAGGAAGTGCTGCATTATCTGACAGTATAATTTCAGCTCCACATCTTGCCGCCACTATTCCAGGAAGGCTCACACCTGCTCCAAGCTAAACAGAATAAATTTGTTTTTAGCATACCTTCTGTAGTTTGGTTTTTTTAAGCCAACACATACATAATTGAGTTTAGTAATGCACCCAGTTTTTCTCTGGAGTACTAGGAACAGTTGATTAGCAGTTCATGGCATCTTAATGAAAGAAGACAAATGTGGACAATCACGACTTAATCAGAGAACAAATGCAAAGAAAACAGTCGTGAGAGTCTGACTCAGATCAAGCAGTCAACAAGACTTGCAAAGAAAATGCTTTCTGTGTATTATGGTCAAAAGCACTACAACACAATACAGTAAACAAATTCCTTTAAATCATAAGAAAATCCTAGCGTAAAAATACATAATCAATGTCTCCAGATTATATAACGTTTCAAAATTGAATCTTCCTCAGGAAATAATCTGTAGTGTACAAAAATGCAATTCTTTAGAATGTACAATGTGAACAATGAAAAACTGTAAAATCCAAATACAGTTTGTCTTACAGAGTAGTACAAAAGCTCTCTTGCTCATTAAGTGCTTTACAAAAAGTCATGAAAGAGCTGCAATATAATAATATTCCTCTTATGAAAAAATACAAAGATCCTTTTCTTATGATTCGAAGAAATTTGTTTATTGTGTTGTAGTGCTTTTGACCATAATATACAGAAAGTATTTTCTTTGCAAGTCTTGTTGACTGCTTGATCTGTGGGTCAGACACTCACAACTCTTTTCTTTAAATTTGTTATCTTAATGAAAGATCCATTGCATACCAGTTCTTAAGGCCTCCAGCATAAAGCCCCCTTTAAGTTGTTCAATTTACAAGGTAAAGGTTTCCTTTGCTTGAAAGCCAGTCGAATCTGACTCAAGGGGACGGTGCTCATCGTTTCCAAGCCGAAGAGCCAGCACTGAAGAAGTTTCCATGGTCATGTGGCCGGCATGACTAGACGCCGAGGCACATGGAATGCTCTTACCTTCCCACCAAAGTAGTACCTATTTATCTACTTGCAATTTCTTGCTTTCGAACAGCTAGGTTGGCAAGAGCTGGGGCCAGAGATGGGAGCTCACTCCATCACGCAGCACTCAGACCTCAAACTGCCGAACTACCGACTTTACGGTCTGCAGTTCAGCATCTTAACCACTGAGCCACTACATGCTTAATTCAGAAATTAACTATAGGCAGATCTATGCTTTATTTCAAGCTACTTGGTATAGTTCTGCAGGAAAATTAGGGTGGGAAATAAGTTCACATGAGATGTGCATCAAGCATATATAACATGCTATCAAAAATACTGTTAAGGTAGCTTGCAGCATTTATTAATCAAATCATTAAGAAGGAAATCAGAACTGTAATGTTAATGAAGTCACAATAATAAATACTTTTTAAGTCCAGCAATAAATAATGGAGCCAGAAAAACAAGGCAGGAGAACTTAAGAAAAAGTTTGAAATAATAAAATTGTATTTGCCTGGTACCTGACCAGTTTAATGCCAAGCAAGTCTCTGTGGGGACAGTCCCAAAGCAACAGAAAAAGCCTTTCCCCTGATGCTCAAGCACCTTATAAAAGTGAGGACACACCCGGCCCATAGCTACAATGGGGCATCTGGGGGCTGCCCCCCTGACTTACTTCAAAGGCCCCCTTAAATGTCCCCTGCCTTCCCATCTGGCAAGATGACAATGTGGCACCTGACGCAAATTCTCCCTGCACTGGCGCTGCTGCCTTTCCTGACGCAAACACCCCCTGCACTGCACTTTTCTCTGGGCCAGTTCCTGGTCAAGAGGCAGCCTCTGCTGTGCTCTCCGCCCAGCCTCCGTGACTCAGGCTGATTCAGAGGCTGCCGCGGTGCCACCAGTGGGGCTCTGGCTCAGCTGCCGGGGGGCAGGTGGGGGAGGCAGAGTGCGGACGGGCGAATAACTTCATCACCGCTTCTTGGCCCGCAGCACACTAAGGCACATAAAAGGAGTGCCAGCCCGGCCGGGCAAGATGACTCCATCCCAGCTTCTCTCTCTCTCTCTCTCTCTCTCTCTCTCTCTGCAGCTCCATGCCGCCTGGCTGCCCCCTGGCCTCTGAGTCCCACAGCTCCTCTCTGAAACAATCTCTCCCACCTGGCCCACCTCTCCACTGACTTTGGTGCCCACCTCTTTGGCAAGGTGGCCCAGTGCTCCCTGGACTGGAACGTGGCCTGCTCTACCCATGGCGCTGTCTCTTTCCTGGCCATGCTGCAGGCGGTGGTGGGCAGAGATGCAGTGCCAGCTGGAGCGCCCTAATGGATGCTGTCTCTGTAAATTGGTGTGTAAGATCTTACACTGTTCAATCTTCTAGCCTCACTGTGAGTTAATTAAATTACCTTTAATTAAATTGGCCAGTATTCCCCGAGGAATTAAAATGCCCCGACTTTAAAATTCCTGGCTATGGGCCTGGGACACACTGATCAGGGCCTCTGAAATTGATCCTCATCAGGTAGATCCACACTGGCCTGTAGGCCATACAAGACTATTTCGTCTATTATCTTTATGATAGGGCAGGGTTTCTGTTCCTGCTTTTGAACTATAGAAAGACAGAATTACCTTTGGGTTCCAGGTTTGTGATTCTCCATTGAGCTTGACATTATCCTAAATGCTAGTCATACAAAATCACACCCTTAGAGATCTATCCCAAGCTACTAGCTTGGTTTCAAATGCTGTTTAACTGCAACATACTATGAGCGAGTCTAAAGCCTGTTAGCTGCCTTGGGCCTGCTTGTCAGGCAAGGTGGGGTATAAATACAAACAAATAAATATTTTAACACACACCCCTCAAAAGCCATTAGGTGAACTTCAAAATGCCATACCTCCAAAATGGTCTTTTCAAAGACTAATCTTCTGTGAAACCACACATATTGGGCCAGAACCACCGCGCAAGGCCAAACATGCATACCATACTGGGGGTCAAGAACCTGAAGAAAAAAAATCATGCTTTAGAACATGACTGTGGTAACAAATGTATGAATGCATTTTTCAGTTTCTATAAGTTCCCTACCATTTTATACTAGTCATATGAGATATAAGAAACCTTAAATTAACTTTAATAGCCCACCTTGAGTAGTTTGTACTAAGCTATGGAGTATATACTTTTCTGTGGAATACTGTAATTGAAAAGGAATTATGGAACAGGTTACGGAGAAATGTGGATCCCCCCCCCCATAGCTAGGTGACTATAGAAGGCATTGTTCTATATATTGGTGTGGGGGCAGGGGCATCTATAGATTCAGTGAGTATTATTCCATAAGACAGAGTTTTCTTCTGACTGGTTAGCTTTTAAGTCAACCACGCAGTACCAGTGAATTTCACAGTACCCATCATGCAAGACCTAAAAAATAGTCTATACAATAGAGTAGCCTTTGTACAGATGTTAGGAAGGCTTTCCCTTTGTTGAGACTCTGCTAGCAAAGTAAGATGTAATTATTCAGGTGGGCTTTTAATGCTGTCACCTAATTTTTAATTAACATTATTTGCTTTGCTTGTAAAGGTAAAGGTTCCGTGGTCATGTGGCCGGCATGACTAAACACCAAGGCGCACGGAACGCTGTTACCTTCCCACTGCAGTGGCTTTGTTTGTACCCCACCTTTTTTCCCAATGGGGGCCTAAAGTGGCTTCCATCATTCTCCATAATTTTTTTATCCTCACAATCATGATGTGAGATAGGTTAGGCTGAGTATGTGACCAGCCCTTGGTCACCCAGCAAGCTTCCGTGACAGAGAGGGAATCTGAACCTGGCTTTCCAAAACTCTAACCATTATACCAGACTGGTTCTCAGGGAAGCACAACTCTGTGCCCCGTGCGTCCCCAGGGCCCGATGTAGGACATACAGGTGGAGTCCAATGAGTTGGATAACTGTTTATTGCAATGAACAAGAGATATAGAACTTAATGACTAAGCATCCGTTAAGACCAAGCTGATCTCTCTGGCCCAGACAGGAAGGGCAGGTCTTATACCCAAAATGACATCACATTAGTTTACAATCAACAAAGAACATAATTGGACCCAGGTAGGTTGGCATTATATGAGCTGGCATCCTTCCATTGGTGTACGCCACTTTGGGATAAGGTTACAGGCATTTACATTGCTGATCTGACGTAGGAACATTAAAGAAAATTGAGGTCTTCATCTGGAATTCTTCAAGGACCTTTACATTTGTATGGGAAGAGGAGCTTCCCAGATAAGATGTGAACCGAGACACAATATTTGGCTCTTAGACATCCTGGTGCTACAAAGGAGGATGCTGTTTAAGAGATACAGAGCCATTGCTATGTTATTCTAATACAGAACAATGAACCATAAATCGTCCTTCAGAGAGATTCAATGACAAAGGAGACTGCAATTGACCAAACAGTTTTGGTTTTAGGCACATTCCTGTTCTTCTGCTTCTTGAGCTGACTCAAGGTCTTTTTACACAAACATATGCTAAATATCATGCAACTTAACTGTATTTCTTGGCTAACATCAAATATATTGGGTTAAGTAATCAATATACTATATGAATATAAGCATGCATACATATCAGAGATAAACAAAAATCGGATTATCTCCTTCCCCTACAAGTCTCCCCTCTTGGTGAAATGACCACTTCAAGGCTCATTGACACCATCACTGTCCTCATTGATAGGGGGAGTATATTCAGCACAATATTCAGCTATCAGCATCATACGCTCAGTTTTCGGAACAGGAGGATTAGGAACTGAAGAAACACAACAGGCTATGTGGGAGGGGATATACTGAATGCAAAGACATATCCCACTGATAAGCAAAATCCCAACCAAAATGAACATCAAAACAGTTTTGATCGAAGACCCAAGCCCCATAAACCAGCTCCCAAACCAAATGCTCCACCCATTAGAAATTAAAATACCCCATGACATATCTTTGATATTCTTGATATGGTTTTCAATAGACTGGGAATGATCACTTAAATTCAAGCAGCACATGCCCTTGAATTCCTCACACCCATGATTGGCCCTCAGTAAAGATAGTCAATGGCCGTACAGTTCTGGATGTTAGCCTTCTCAGTAGCATGTAGATGTGATAGCAGGCCTCCCAATGCCTGGGAGGTATTGTTCATGGTGTGTGCAAGGAGGCAGGCTAAGGCGTTGATATTCTTAAGAGTTCACTGCTGCGAGGGCTGGGACCCTGAAAAGAGATGCTGCTACTGCCATCGATTCACCAATGGAGAAGAGCTTCATGGAAGAATCGTAGGTGTCATCAACTTCAGATAAACTCCATCGGGTCCGGGAAGTAGCAGGGGTCGTTTTCCAGGGGGTGAGAAAGGGTGTCATATATCCCAGTGTGCACGGGCCGCCCACCAGATTTGCCAGGATGTAAGAATAAGCAACGAGTCCACAGAACACAAACCATCCGGTAGGTAGAGTTGTGTGTCTGGTGTGCAATGGTGCTGATTTGGTAAGGTTGTATTGGATATTCCAATTGATGACATTGAGGCAGGTGAGGGTGCAGCCTTTAAAATAACTAGAGGTCTGCTCGGACAACTTTAGCAATCTTGACCAAAAACACGTCCTTAGTTGGAAATCTGGTTGTGTTTCCCCAGGTGTAGATGGAGCCAAAGGTCGGGACATGGTGAGAGTCCCAATGGGGAGTCCTGTCCTGAAGTTTCTGCACACCGATTGGCATACCCCATAGGCAGGAAGAAAACATATTTACTTGTTTTTATGGATTTGTAATTGTCTATTGTTTTCACTATCACTGTAACCCCCCCCCCCCCCACACACACACACACTCCTCCAGCAGCAGGTCAGAGTCCAGGGCTGCAGTGCCCTCCAGTGTCTAGCCTGGCCTTAGTTAAGGCTCAGTTACAGACAGGAAGAAGATTCTCACCTTTCACCCCCTCTCTCTTAAGCCATCCATCTTTCCCTGAACATCACGACAGCAGTTTGTCTCTTCCTTCTTGGCCTTCCTTGGGCTTGCCTAATAAAAGACTATCTGGGAGTGAGCTGACTTTAGACTCCATCAATGTCCTCTCTTCAAGATGGAAAGTGAAGGGAATGAGGGCCAATGGCCTCCCTGGTTGGGCCCCTCCTCTCCTGTCCCACTGTCCAGAGGCTTTAAGAAACTGGCCTGCCTGCCTAGGTTTTAGGACACCCCAGCTACTGCCAGTCTTCTCCGCTGGCCTGTTCCCAGGTGCAGTCTGCTTTCCTTCTAAGTCATGTGCCAGGGCTGCCAGGCTCTGAGGCCACTGCTGGCACATTCCAGGTGTGACCTCACCCTTGATCCTTTCTCCGCAGCCCCTGGGTGCCTGCCTGCCTGAGTGGTGTCAGAGCAAGGTTGATCCCCTGCCAGAGTCCCCTCTGGATCACATGAGTGCAGAGGTGGAGCTGCCAGCCCCATATGCCTCCTTGAGTCCAGTTTCAAAGAAAGATGGGTTAAAATACTCCAAATAATTTCCCTTATATATAAAAGCCGAATGGTGGTGGCACTTCTCTAGAACATTCCACACGCTCCGGAATTGGTTGGTGCCCTGGTGTGTCACTCAGAATCTGTCCCTATCCACTGGCTGCATTGCTTGAGTCTCGCCTCCAACATTCTAAACAGTTTGCTGTTCCTCTTCCCCCCATAGCCAGTCAGAACACAGAGGTTATTTGCATATGCAGCCTCATTGGCCTTTGCCTCGGAACACAGAGGTCGTTTGCATATGCTGCCTCACTGGCCTTTGCCTCGGAACACAGAGGTCGTTTGCATATGCGACTTGACTGGCTTTTGCCTCTAACATTCTAAACAGTTTGCTGTTCTGAGGTAAAATGTGTCCAATCTCCAGGTGAGGGTTGGAGATCACTCAGAATTACAACTGCTTTCCAGATGGCAGAGATCAGTTCCCCTGGAGAAAATGGTGGGCTCTGTATCCTTATATGCTGCTGAGGTGGCCCCCATATGACAGCCAATGTGATGTAGCAGTCAGGGCTTCAGAGCACGGGAGAGGCTGCAGGTGTGTGTGTGTGAGGTGGAAATAAAAGTAGGTTGATGATTGGCTGGGAAGGAGATAGAGATGCCAACTCCAGGTGAAAAATTCCTGTGAGGGATGGTGCCTGGAGAGGGTGAGATTTCAGGAGGTGTGGGACCTCGGACAGGTACAAAGCCATAGACGCCACCCTCCAAACCAACCATTCCCTTCTGAGGAACCATCATTGCCAATCTCCAGGTGAGGGCTGGAGATCACTCAAAATTACAACTGTTCTTTAGCTAACAGAGATCAGTTCCTCTGGAAAAAATGGTGGACTCAGTGTCATTATACCCTGCTGAGGTCGCCACAGCAAATTGACACTGAGTGTCCAAGGCTGGGGCACCCACCCAGAGCCTCTTTCTAGAGGCCGTTGTATTTATTTCCACAACGGGCCTTTTTCCTTGTTAAATAGATATTACAGATGGTAGGTACATCATAAATACATCTAATAAGAAGGGGGACCGCGATACTCATGGTGGGGGGGAGTATTCCCCACAGCTCCCGACCTGCAGGAGGAGGAGGAGGAAGCGGCAGCAGGTCAGGCCAGCAGGCGGATCCATCAGGCCCATCAAGCCTTCTCCCTCTTCCCCCTCCCCCAACACCGGCAGCAACCTGAGGCCCGCAAGCCTTCTCCCCCCCCCCCGCGGCATCGAGACAGTTGCCAGGGTGTTCTCTTGCGCATGTGCAAGGAACGCTCTTTTACTTTTGGGGGATTTAAGTATCCCCCGTATAATTTTTTCAACTTTTTAGATTTTTCTGCACACCCGGGGGCTGCTCCAAGTATGCAGGAAAATCTCTGTGCCCCCCAAGTGCCCCCGATGTGCGGATTTAGTTATCCGCACGGATGGGGCAACTTGGCTATTAGATATATAGATAATCAATATGGTCCCATCTGTGGATACTTAAATCCACAGATGTGGGCCAGGTAGAGAGAATGAAGATTTGCTTTTAAATTTTGGAGACCCCCCCCCCCCGGGTTTGCAGAAAGATCTAAAATCTGCCCAGATTGGAGGGGGGATTAATTCCCAAAACAAACCTCTCTGCACTTTTGCAGAATCTTAGCTGCCAGACCTGCGTCTCATCGCCAGGCTGTGAGGCACTGTGGGTGGGGAGCCAGTGGCACAGCAGTGGTAGTACTGTGGATGGGGGAGAAGGAACCACCACTGCCATGAGCCCTGCTATCACTGCCAGTCCTCACCAACTTCTTCACCAACAGAGAAAAGAAAGCGAGAATGATAGTAAGGCATGGGGAGAAAGAGAAAGACAGAGACAAAAGTAGAAGAGGTGGGAGAGATGGAAAGAGAGAACAAGAAGGGTTAGGGTTAGAGGGGAGGAAGCAAATGCAGGCGGGTGGGATGGCCACTCCTGCAAGTTCCTTATTAGTCTCTGCTTGTACATAACCAATTTTTGATGCTGATCATTTGGATGCATGAACACATGAAGCTGCGTTATACTGAATCAGACCACCAGTCCTTCAAAGTCAGTATTGTCTACTCAGTCTGGCAGCAGCTCTCCATAGTTTCAGACACAAGTTCTTTCAGATCATCTACAACCTGATCCTTACTTGGAGATGCTAGGGATTGCACATGGGACCTTCTGCATGCCAAGCAGATACTCTACCACTGAGCCACAGTCCCTCCCCATAACACTACCAACGATCATATTTGAAGATGATCATATTTCAAAAACTGTGTATGCACACGAAAGCTCATATTTTGAATAAACCTTTGTTGGTCTTAAAGATGCCACTGGACTCTAAATTTGTTCTACTGCTTCAGACCAACATGGCTGACCTCCTGGAATGACCACATTAACTCTTGTTTACATAACTATGCAACATTTGAGTTGTGAGCAGATGTAGCAATTTTTGGTATTAATTACTGTGATCAAAAGAGTCCAGTCATTCCATACTGTGATCATACAGTTCGAGTCAAAGTGGACAGTACTGCCATCAGTAGTATTAACTCCAGTAACTGTTACCTAGCTACAGCTAATTTCAAGAGCAGAAAACAATTACTATGGAAGCTGGATTCTTTACTAAATGCTGTATTTGCTAAATGAACCTATTTAAATAGGACAAAAAAATGGGAGTACGGGATCATTCAACTCATATATGTTTGCCTTATTTATGTAACTTGATCTACTTTGCTTTGATTTTAAAGAGTAATTTTAACTTTTTCAATTTATTTCTCAAAACAGTGCTTTAATCGCTACTATGAAAATAAACATTTTTGCTCTTCAGACATAAGGCTTTCTACTAAAAGCTGAACACAAAAGCATCCCCACGTGTGTAATTTTCTAACATTTCTATGTATACTTCATTTGTTTTAAATCTGTAGATCTTAGACTTCATTTCTTCTTCCTTGTACTGAATAATTCTAAATTCTGCTTATTATAATTCCTTGGACAGAAGGGCCAACGCTAGGCTAGAAAAACTAGAGAGAGAACACAAGTAAATATTAAAAATAAATAATAGACCGACACCTCTGGAATAAGCACCACCAGCACTGATTTCGGGTGTTCTCTTTCGTGCTCCTCTTGCCCTTCCGCAAACCTGTATTTTCGCACGGTGAATTTGGGTGCCGAACAGCACATTAAATCCAGTTTTGGGAAGCCTGCCGATCCGCGGCGCTTCCTTCGCGCCTGCATGCTGCTTTGCTGAAGCTTGACTTAAATGTAATTGAGCCATTCAAAGTCAAGAACAATTAGCGCTCGTTTCGTCAAAATGTCCAATCATAGGCGGGGACACCGGAAAGGCACCAAACTGGGGTGGTCTTTGCACAGATCCTGCCCTTGCTTTTTACACGCGTAACCCGTTTCTACGTTGAGTGGGAATTTTCCCTGGAGACGCCATGTTGTTTAAAGCCCCTAGTTACTGGCTAAAAGAGAAAGACGTGGGGACAGAACACCCTGGAGAGACTAAAAAATCTGTCACGAATATCAGTGAGACACAAAGCAGGCTCAGTAAACATGTAGCCCGATCCTAAGATGAACTAGCCACCGTTAAATCCACAGTGGGTTTCGGCGCGTTTAATTCTACATAAGCTCAAAATGGAAGTGGGAAGGTTGCCACCTTTTGTTTCCCAAAACTGTGACTGCGCTTCTAAGCACAGCCCGAATGCGTTCCCCTGAATGCTAAAAGCATATGCACGTCTGCGTAGGACGTCTCTGGCACTTACATACATTGAAGTGGGGAGTACAACACAGATTGTTTCGAATGTATAGGTCGATTTAAGAAAAAAATAAATAGATTATGGTCTTTTTTTCCCCTTTCAGCTGTCGCACTCTTAGCAATGTACATTTAGTATTGCCGCTATGCTTTCTGGCCCACCCTCGACCGCATCTTGTACGACAGCTATGTTGCTAAAACGTGATCGTATGTGGGGACGTCGATAAGAGCCTGCCTTAGTTCTCCACATTCCACTGCCATGGCGCAGCTCGTCTCGCGCTGAGTACTCAAGATGGCGGCGGAAAAGTCGTTTCCTCTACCTCCCCTTATCCTTTCCCGTCAGACTTTCTCTCCGCTTCTAGAATGACCAATGGGTTCCGGCCGTTTCCGGGAGGAAAAAGAGCAGCAGCCAATAGGAAGAGGCGAGGGATCAAGCAAGCAAGGAAGGAAGGTTGGCTGGGTAAAGGGAGGTAGCGGTGCCGTGTTTCAAACGGCGTGGAAGTTAAATTTCTGGACGGCACTAGTGCTGCCTCTGGAGAGACATCCAAGTGGCGAGGAAGGAGAAGGCTCCGGGGACATGAACCACAAGAGCAAAAAGCGCATCCGCGAGGCTAAGCGGAGCGCCCGCCCGGAGCTCAAGGACTCTCTCGACTGGACCCGGCATAACTACTGCGAGACCTTCCCGCTTAGCCCGACAGTCTGCAAGGTGAGGGGGTTGGAAAAAGACCGGGTGGGGGAAGGTTATGTGGGTTTTCGAGCGCACACAGGAGTTAGGGGGCAAAAGATAAAATTGTGTGCTAGGGCTGGTGGGCGTGAAAATGTGTAGGGAGCCCATCCCAGTCTCGGAAGGACATTGGTAAGATGTAGCTGCCCCATAACGTGCTTCAGGGTCCTTATTAAGCGGTTTGTAGGCTTCATTCTAAAGTATTCACTATTTTATTTTGTACATATTTTGTGTCGTAACGGTTTGTGGGAGGTGTCCTGAATGACAGTCGTTTGAATGTAACCTGGTGTGTCGGTAGAAGTTTAGATAAACATATGGAGCAGAGGTCGGTCAATGGCTATTAGCCACATAGAAACTCTCAGTCTGGGGCAAGTGATGTACTGTATTCTTGGTGCTGGGGCTGCAGTGTCCTGGCCCCACTGCTGGACCTCCTGGTGGCACCTGGTATTTTTGGCCACTGTGTGACAGTGTTGGACTGGATGGGCCATTGGCCTGTTATGTTCTCTTATGTTCTTATGTTAAGTGTTGGTGCAAGGTTTCCCTTTACATTTTTAAAACAAAGTTTGGCAGACTGGCTTTCAGATGTATGGATTATATGGGCAAAAGGGGTTGTTAAAGTGATAACTATCTGGGGTAAGTGATCGCTTTAAAAACTCTGTAGAAGTGCTGGGATGGGGAAGCTGCTGGTGTCATTCCAAACCAGGACTGAGAACTGGAGGCAAGTGGAAGAGATATCTCATATTCTAGCCCGCTGGGTACTAATTTTAGGCTGTGCTTGGAGAAGGTCAGGTATTGTGAAAGGGGACGTTTTTTTGCATCAAAGTGGTGGGGATCTGATACTAGTGAAATGGGGCTAGGCTGCCAGGTTCAAGAGATATATTGGAGGTTTGATTGTTGCATGGAAAGGAATTAACCAGTTTCATACCAGAGGTGCCAGATGGCAGAAAACCTGGGGAAAGTGTAAATAAGCACCTTGCATCTTCAGCATTGACAGTCAGAAACTGCACCCAGAATGGGTCAAAAGTGGCAAGGTGAGACCTGCTCTGTCTCTTAAGAAGATGAGTGATGAAAAAGGGCTGGAATACTGCATATATATTAAGTTATAATCATAACTGCTTGATCTTTGGTAGCTGGAATATAGGCCTGCTGTTTTGCAATTTGGAGATCTGCAGAATTTCTTGAAACCTCGCAATGCATCTGGAGCCATGACTCCTTTGAAGCTGCCAGTATACTGAATTAGACCATTGGTCTCTCAAAGTTAATATTGTCTACTCAGACTGGCAGCAGCTCTCCAAGGTCTCACATACTACTTGTTCCTTTTAATGGGAGATGTCAGGGATTGAATCTGGGACCTTCTGCATGTGAAGCAGGTGCTCTGCCCCTTGAAGCAAAGCCCCTCCTCCCCTTCGAATAGGAAGAGAATAATCAAGGATTCACAATGGTATTCCCTTTGTACAACTTCTTTCCTCTCCTGTTGTGTGTCCTGTTGTGTAAGTACTTTGTATTTTTGTCCACTTTGGGAAGTTATTGGATTTCATGGTTTATTCATTTAACATCTTGTGTGCTTGCATTCCTGTATAATGGGAGGTTTCAGTGACGGGGAGACTATATTTTCCTATCTGTACTAGTTTCCAAAAACCAGATATGCTGATTAGGCTCATATTATGCATATACAGAAGGAATCATAGAGTTGGAAGGGACCTTCAGGGTCATCTAGTCCAACCCCCTACACTATGCAGGAAATTCACAGATACCTCCCCTCCCCCAATGAGGGAGAGGCCCAGAAGATGGCAAAAAAACTCCAGGGTCCCTGACCAAACTGGCCTGCAGAAAATTGGTTCCTGACTCCAAAGTGGCGATCAGCATTTCCCTAGGCATGTAAAAAAGGGCTACAAGAACTAAGCACTGATGCAACCCATCCTGCCCTCCCTTCTCATGATCTACCTAAGTTCATAGAATAAGCATTGTTGTCAGATGGCCATCTAGCCTCTGGTTGAAAACCTCCAAAGAAGGAGAGTTCACCACCTCCTGAGGAAGCCTGTTCCACTGAGGAACTGCTCTGTCAGGAAATTCTTCCTAATGTTTAGCTGAAAACTCTTTGGAGTTTTCAAAGGAAGGGTTGCATCAGTTCTTAGTTCTTGTGGCCCTTTCTCACACACCCAGGGAAATACTGATCGCCACTTTGGAGTCAGGAACCAATTTTCTGCAGGCCAGTTTGGTCAGGGACCCTGGAGTTTTTTTGCCATCTTCTGGGCCTCTCCCTCATTGGGGGAGGGGAGGTATCTGTGAATTTCCTGCATTGTGCAGGGGGTCCCTTCCAACTGTATGATTCTGTGATTTAATTTCAACCCATTGGTTCATGTCCGATTTTCTGGGGCAACAGAAAACAACTCTGCACCATTCTCTATATGGCAGCCCTTCAAGTACTTGAAGATGATTATCATATCACCTCTCAGTCATCTCCTCTCCAGGCTAAACACACCCAGCTCCTTCAACCTTTCCTCATAGGACTTAGTCTCCAGACCCCTCACTATCTTCGTTGCCCTCCTCTGGACATGTTGCAGCTTATATCCTTCTAAAATGGTGGTGCCCAAAACTGAACACAATACTCTAGGTCTAACCAGAGCAGAGTAAAGCAATACCATCACTTTGCATGATCTGGACACTATACTTCCGTTGATAGAGCCCAAAATTGCACTTGCCTTTTTAGCCACCGCATCACATACCTGACTCATGTTCAGTGTATGGTCTAGTAAGACCACTAGATCCTTTTCGCACATGCTACTGCCAAGACGAGTCTTCCCCATCCTATAATTATGCATTTGGTTTTTTCTATCTAAATGCAGAACTTTACATTAATCCCTGCTGAAGTTCCTTTTATTTGTTTTAGCCCAGTTTTCCAGCATGTCAAGATCATCCTGACTTTGTCTTCTACCATATTTGCTACCCCTCCCAATTTATATAGTTATTTATTTATTTATTCAATTTATACCACACCATCCCCGCCAAAGCAGGCTCAGGGCAGCTTACATAAAAAGTTAAAACACTTAAAATAGAACGTTTGTAAAACCATTCATAAAGTGCATTCCCTCTATTCCTTCATCCAAATCATTTATCAAGATGTTGAACGAAACAGGTCCCAGGACAGATCCTTGAGGCACTGCACTTGTCACTCTTCTCCAAGAGGATGAGGAACCATTCACAAGCACTCTTTGGGTGCGATCTGTCAACCACTTATAGACCAACCAGTTACTACCTAACAGTAATAAGATCCAAACCACATTTTACCAACTTGTCAACAAGAATATTATGTGGAACCTTATCAAAAGCCTTACTGAAATCAAGATAAACTATGTCTACAGCATTCTCCTGATCTAGAAAGGTACTAACTTTCTCAAAAAAAAAAGAGAGAGAAGAGAAAGATAGGATTAGTATGAAATGACTTGTTCTTGAGAAACCCATGCTGACTCTTAGTAATCACAGCCATTCTTTCTAAATGCTCAAGGACTGACTCTTTGATTATTTGTTCTAAAACTTTTCCAGGTATAGATGTCAAGCTGTTGGGTCGGTAGTTATCTGATCCTCCTTTTTCCACTTCTTCATCACCCACCTCCAATCTTCTGGCACCTCACTTGTTCTCCAAGAATTCACAACAATAATGGATAGAGGCTCAGAAATTACATCTGCGAGTTCTTTTAGTACCTTTGGATGCAGTTCATCTGCCTCTGATGATTTAGTTTCATTTAAAGAAACTAGGCTGATCCTAGGCTGCAGCTCCCTTCCCTCATTGTGTTCTGTTTTTGCCATGTTGAGGATCGTTTCCCTTACAAGAGAAGACTGAGGAAAAGTAGAAATTGAGCAGTTCTGCCCTCTCTTCATCACCTGTTATAATTTCACTTTCTTGTCCCCACAATGGGCCTACCATGTCCTTGCTCTTTTTCTTACTTTGCACGTAAGAAAAAAACCCTTTTGTACAGGGAATGTGGACTTCAGACACATGACATGCTGCTCTTTCTGTTTAATTATGATACCATACAAGGCAGATTTTTCCTACATCCCAGAGCAGCTAGTTTAGTTTTAAGGTTGTAGGAGGGGGGGGGGGAGTCAAAACACATTAGAAAATTTTTAGGATGCTGTTTACTCACTGTTCTGTGTTTAACCCAGAGGCATTGGAATTCTACAGAGATTGTATAACTCCCTTCTCTTTAGTCTTGAAAGACTAGAGTAGTGACACAAAATAGAACTTGAGCTGTTGCAAGTATAATTGGTATGTAAGAGAAAACCCAAGTCTTGTAGTGACAACCATCTTTTCACCTTTGAAGTAGAAAGATACAGTATAAATAATTTAAAGAAATTAGCTTCTTCATGTAATATAAAGTCCTGTGTCTCCTGGGCAGTGAATGGTGCAAGAAAATATTCAGTTAGATTTCTTGTTCTATTTGTGTTTGTGTGTGTCTGCATAGGATGAAGTCTCATGTTTGCATTGTATTCAGGCCTCCTTTGGATCTCTTTATTCGGTACAGCATACCAGTGGAGAAAACATCCTTTTGGTGTGAGCTGAAATACAGAGTAAAACTTCTGCATACCAGTTTAGATTGAGGAAATTTCTGATCAAGCCCTTTATTAGCTCCTTGGATAACAGTGACCAGCTGTAAAACGTAATTTTTGGATGCCTTCAGTAGCAAATTATTCTGTATTATTCTTCTGATTTTGACACATCATTCACTGAATATTTCAGGTATTTCCAAAGCCAGCATGATTCAGTGTAAAATAGACATGCATGCCTTGGTTTCTTCACTTGCAGAGCAGGTAGACTAATGTTCAGCTTTCATTTCAGAGCAGAGTATTTCAAAGTTCTGTGTACACAAAAGAGTTATTAAAATGGCAGTGTGAATAATTATTTCTCCAGTTCACAAGATAATCTTGCATTTTGCTTGAAGACGCCAGTTAATATGGTACTAGATATCAGAATGCTGGTACTTTAATTATTAAAATATTTCTGCATTGCACTAAGCACACAAGACTACCCTTTATTAGACCATCTACTCTTTTTAAAAGATTGGCTAGTCCAGTAAAAATGCTTTGAATTGCATGGTATTTTTCCTCAGGAAAATTTTATAAAAATCTGCCTTTGTATTTCGTGGACAGATCTGTATGTCTTTAGAACAGAGAAAATGAGCAACTAGAAAAATGATTTGTTTATCTTTTGAGTGACTGGTTGATTCAGTAACAAGCATTCAGTGCTCTTCACTCTGTGAGACTAGCAGTGCAATCCTGTGTGGTGACCCCTTCTAACTTTACACAGAGTTGCATTGGAATCTGCAATCGCATGCACACATTTCTTGGAACTAACCTCTTTGAACAAAATGGGACTGATTTCTGAGTAAACATACATGGAGTTGCATTGAAATATAATTAATACTCTGCTGTTCTGTTGCACATTGCCCTTATTTTAAGAGTCATTCTTCTCTTGTTCCGCAGGACAACGTGGAAAGAGCAGATGTGCTTCATTTGTCAGTGGAAGAATTCATTGAACGTTATGAAAAGCCTTACAAGCCTGTTGTCCTCCTGAATGCTCAGATGGGATGGCCGGCTCAAGAGAAATGGACTCTGGAGCGCCTGAAGCGCAAGTACAGGAATCAGAAATTCAAGTGTGGGGAGGACAATGACGGTTACTCTGTGAAGATGAAGATGAAATATTACATTGAGTACATGGAGGCTACACAGGACGACAGTCCCCTTTATATATTTGACAGCAGCTATGGAGAGCATCCTAAACGCAGGAAACTCTTGGAGGACTACAGGGTGCCCAAGTTCTTCACGGATGACCTGTTCAAATATGCAGGAGAGAAGAGGAGGCCGCCATACAGGTAGGGCTAGAAACAGCAAAGATGCCATTGGACTATTTTTTTTTTAGAATTGCATATAACAGAAAAAGAGTGCTTTGACAGTTTTTCTTCATCCTTCATGTTCAGTTCAGGTAAACTGGAGTACAGGTGTTGCATTTTAATTCTGAAATATTTAAAGGAGGCTTCTAGTTATGACTCTAGTACAAAAAACACCCAGTTGCCTAGGGGTGATCTAAATCATTCTTAAAATTCTTCAGGTCATTCCTAACTATAAAGCAGTTATTGATAACAAGCTTGTACAGTTACTGAGTCTCAATCAGTACTGATAGTTTTAAGGTGCTTTCACACACTTCTAAACATTTCTCTTTATTCTTTTTGCATCTCCTCTGGTGTACATAATTGAATATAGATATCATATCCAAGAGGACTGGTACATGTGCCAAAACCAATAAGTAATTCAGTTTTTTATCCTAGAACAGTGACATATAATCATGACTGTTTCTGTGTTTATGCCTTTGAGGCATATTCTGATCATTTATCACTACTTGGTTTGGCAGGATATTAACCCTGTTGTACTGCTTGTGGTGTCTACTGCTCTGCTTTTATTTCATTAACAAGATGTTTTAAAATTTGCCTACCAGCCAGACATTCAAAGCCACAAGTATAACACTTGCATTCTGTCTGTGCTAGTGTATTGTAGAGTTATTTTTTTGGTAAACAAATTTTATTTTCTTAGGAATTCAACATATAGAAATAAACCATTTCATCCTTTCCATTGTCTACCCCATTCCCATTTCCTCCCCTCCCTCCAGTGGCTTCCCGCAATGCTTCCCCCCCTACTCCACATTACTTTACATCATCAATTATATCATTTTCTTATGATTACAATCTTAAGATAACATCATTTGACTTAATATTGCTCTAAACATATTAAGTTTTGTTTCACATCCCAGTTCTTTTCCAGATATATTTTAAAGTCTCTCCATTCTTCAAAAAACATGGCGTCTTCTTTGTTATTCAATTTTTTTGTGATTTTATCCATTTCAGCCATGAACAGAACTTTTTGTATCCAGTCTTCAATCTCTGGTACTTTCTCTGTTTTCCAAAATTGTGCATAAATCATTCTCGCAGTTGTAATTAAGTACCAGAATAAGGTCTTTTTAGTCGTATTGATTTCTTCCATTTTTAATCCCAAAAGCAGAATTTCTGGTGTCTTTTTGAAAGAGCATTTCAGTATTTTTTGCATTTCTTTGTGGACTTTTGTCCAATAGTCTACAGCTTTCTCACAAGTCCGCCACATATGGTAAAATGAGCCTTCGTGACTCTTACATTTCCAGCATTTGTTTGACATATTCTGGTTCATATTTGCGATTTTTTTCGGAGTCATGTACCACCTATACATCATTTTATAACAATTCTCTCTAAGATTAGTACAAGGCGATATCTTAATAGAATTTTTCCACAAATATTCCCAGGTTTCAATCAAAACTTCCTTATTCATATTTATTGCCCATTTTATCATTTGCTCTTTCACCGTTTCCTCTTCTGTATACCATTTTAACAACACTTTATACATTTTAGAGATATTTTTTTCCCCTCCACTCTCCCAAACATTTTCCATTTCATTTTTTTCCTCTCTAAAACCATAATTTTTTTTATCTGATCTAAAAAGATCGTAAATTTGCATGTATTTCAACCATTCATATTCATATTCGATTTCATTCTGCTTTTTCATTACCCATTCTGTTCCCTCTTTTTTAATTAAATCTTTATATGGCAACCAATCCTTGTCTCTATGTCTTGAGTAAGATGTTAACACTTCTACTGGTACAATCCACAATGGTCTTACATCACGAAAATATTTTTTGTATCTCATCCATACCACAAACATGTATTGTAGAGTTTATTTTCAGCCTTGGTTGTGCTTGGTCACCCTAAGAACACTCAAGTTGGTCATGGTAGAATGATTATAAAACACATTCCAAACACTGCACTTTGCTTCTTGTGAAGCTGAAATACAGTGTACAGGGTATAGTAATTAGAAGTCACTTTCTGACTTCCCAAGGGTGGAACGTAGTACCAAACATGGCTCTAGGATAAGATCAAGGGAGCTATGTTGAGATAAGATCTTTTTCTCTTGCTTGAAACTTGCTTTTAATGTATTGTAAATTGTTCATTTTATTGTAATTTATTGTTTTAATCATTGTATTGTTTTAATCTGGCACTTAGTGCCCTGTAAGCCGCCCTGAGCCTTCGGGAAATTCAAATATAAATATAAATAAATAAATAAATAAATAAGAGTTTTGGGACAAATCCATGCTGTGGGTAACATTGCTTCATTCTAGTGCTGTTTTGGTTTATTTATATGTTGCATATATGCTTTATCTATGCTTTAATCTCATCTGTATTTTCTTTCTGACTTGGGGTGATTGGGCCGTGTCTCATTGTTGGTATAAAATATACTTACAGATACCTACCATATGAAAACATCACTTTTGAAAAAGTTATGCTACAGACAGTTCAAACAAGGTGTTTGTTTTTTCAAAAAACTAATTTCTGTTAACTCAATTAAGTGATTGGTATAAACCCCCCCCCCCCAAAAAAAAACAAAATCCTATTCAATGTCGTTAGTTTGCTTTGGGGTCAAACTAGATAATGGAGCAGCCAAAGGTCTGATCCAGGGATGCCACTGCTGCTGAATGCCATGAGGGCCTCCAGACCACTGAGACCATCCAATCTTACCACCTCATGTTTTTTTAAGTGCCACAACTGGGGGTTGTTTTGGCACTTGGAAAGGCACCAGGAGGAGGAGTAAGATGGGGCCTGCAGTGCAATGGGACCAGGCGGTCAGGATAGGGTCCTTGTGGAATTTTTAAATGGCCAGAATTCACCTCTAAAATGCTGTAATGCTTACTTTAGCCCTAAGAGTGCTGGTAATTTCACAAAGCAATTGTATAATCCATTCTACCATTTTACAGAGCTGCATGTGTAGATCAAGTCTAAACTAGTGGCAACTGCTGCCTCCCCATGCCAATGGTTCCATTTATTTATTGTGTAAAGCAGTATTTCCGCTTATCATTGCTAAAGAATAGCATTGGGCAACTACATTGAACTATTGGTCTCCTTGACTATCTGAAAAGAATCTCTATAATGTCATACTCTTTGGTTGTCTTTTTTTCTAAATTAAAATGCCCTGGTCTCTGAAGCCTTTTTCTCATAGGAAAGATCCCCTTGGTAACTTTAGTTGCACTTCTCTGAACCTTCTTCACCTCTCTGTTACTACTGCTTCTATTGCTGCTTTTAACTTAGTAGCCAGGTGTGGCAGCCGCAATACCAGTAACAGAATAATTCTTCAGCCAAAAAAGAAGTTAGTTTTGAAGGAGTACGGAAGAAAACCTTACAAGTATTTCCTATTTCATCTTGTCATAAGTTGATTTTTTTTCAGTGCAGCCAGCATAATATTGGCTGGAGAGGAGAGCAGCCTGCATGCCTGTACACCCACACACATTATTTAACTTTAAGAACAGCAGTGGTGATTGCTCTAGTCGAGGAAACTGCACTTGGTGGGCTCATAAGGATAGTTTCAGTGGGAAGGGAAGGGGAGTATTTTTTCTTTCTCCCATGCAGATGTAGCCCTATCTCAGTTCTGCCAGCATGAATGGGACTGGAAAGTTATTCCACTTGTCCTGGTCCTAGTCCTACACCTCCCCCCCCCCCCTTTCTCCTCTCTGTCACTGCCTCTGCTTTTTGAAGTGTTTGGAAGATGCTGCCACTGACCAGCTGGCAGCCTTCCTCTAATCAAATTCTGCCTGTTTGACTTGTGGTTATATCTCAGCATCTTTCAGGGAAGAGATAGCCATGAAACAACCTTCTGCTATCTTCCTGTATCCTTTCAGGTTTTTGTTTTTTGCATTTGTCATTTCATGGTTCAGCCGCCTTTCTGGATGGGTTTCTGCTTTGTGTGTGTGTGTGTATATTATCAGTTTACAATTTATTACCAAAATTTGTGTGTGTGGGGGGGGTCATTTGGACAGGGTTTGTACTTCTTAGAGGAAACTACTTTGCCTTCTATAGCCTCCTTGAGACTGTCAAACTTTTCTGGCATTTTTTCAGTTTTATTTCTACCCTTTCTGCATGAAGGGGGGATAGGTCAGTGGCTGAGGCCCAGGTTTAGCTTCTTGGCACTTGTGGTTAAAAGGACGTTGGCTAGCAGACCTCTTCTCAAAACCTTAAAGAGCATCTGTCAGTTATGAGATCTTACGAGATGGCAGTCAACGCCGCAAAGAGGGAGTTCTATGCGACTACGATTGTGTCCACTAGCTCACGCCCAGCCCAATTGTTTAAAATGATTCGGTCCATAAGAATTCTGCCTCAGGGCAGACCAAATACTAGGGAATTGGATATTGGCTGGGAGGCATTTGCTATCTTTTTCACGGATAAAGTCTTGGAGCCCTGCCACGACCTCCCCGCCACACTTGAAACAGTTAGCAAGCTCGAGGCTCCTTGCACGTCCTCGTTTTTGGACTATTTCAGTCCGCTCGGCCTGGATGAAGTCGACAGATTGCTCACAGCTGTGCGCCGAACCACATGCAGCCTTGATCCGTGCCCTTCCTGATTAAAGCTGTCCTCGAAGGGTTCTGAGGTGCTCTCAGGGAAATTATCGACATGTCCCTCTCTGAGGGGCAATTCCCGGGGGCACTCAAGGAAGCGATGGTCCGCCCTCTTCTGAAAAAAACATCTTTGGATCCGGCCGAATTGGCCAACTATCAGCCGGTTTCCAATTTGCCCTATTTGGGCAAATTAATTGAGAGAGTGGTGGCGACACAGTTGCAGGGCTTTTTGGATGACGCTACCGTATTAGATCCCTTCCAGTCCGGTTTCCGCCCAGGATACGGGATGGAGACGGCGCTGGTTGCTCTGACGGCTGATCTCTGGAGGCATCTGGATCGTGGCAGTATTGCTGTTAGATCTGTTGGCCGCGTTTGACACGGTCGACCATCAGCTGCTGACCCACCGCCTCGCCGACATGGGGATCCAGGGGCTGGCCCTGCAATGGCTTGCTTCCTTTTTCCAGGATTGAGGGGAAAGGGTGGCGCTAGGGGAACAGCAGTTTAGGAGACACTGACTGGAATGTGGTGGGCCTCAAGGACAGTGCTGTCCCCGATGTTATTTAACATCTATATGCGCCCCCTTGCCCAGATTGCCCGGAGACATGGGCTGGGGTGTCATCAGTACGCTGATGATACCCAGCTCTATCTGATGTTGGATGGCCAGTTGGACTCCAGACCGGAAGATCTGGACCGGGCTTTGCAAGTCGTGGCTGGTTGAATCCAGCGAAGACGGAGGTCCTGTGCCTGAGTCGAAGTGGTTCAGGGGTGGGATTCCTGCTCCCGACCTTCGGTGGGGCACCATTGGTGCCAGTGCCGGAGGTTAGGAGTTTGGGAGTGCTCCTGGATGCCTCCTTAACATTGGAGGCCCAGGTAGCAGCCACTGCAAAGTCGGCCTTTTATAATCTTCAGCAGTTGGCTCCCTTCCTCAGTCGTGACACCCTGGCTACAGTGATCCATTCGATGGTTACCTCAAGACTAGACTACTGTAACGCTCTCTACATGGGGCTGCCTTTGTCGCAAATCTGGAGGCTGCAGCTAGTGCAGAATGCCACGGCCGGGCTGGTGATGGGCATCCCTAAATGGGAGCACATCCAGCCTATGTTGAAGGCACTGCACTGGCTGCCAATAGCATAACGAATCCACTTCAAGGTGCTGGTATTGACCTTTAAAGCCCTATATGGCCAGGGTCTGACATACCTGCGGGACCGCCTTTCCCCATATATACCCCAGCGAGCACTATGGTCAGGAACACAACATCAACTAACCGTGCCTAAGGACGCCAGGCTTGTGGCCACCAGGGTCAGGGCCTTTTCAGTGGTGGCTCCACACTGGTGGAATGAGCTCCCGGAAGAGATCAGGGCCCTGCGGGACCTTTGTTCCACAGGGCCTGTAAGGTGGAGCTCTTCCACCAGGCTTTCAATTAGGAGTCGCCACTCCACCCCCACCAACATCTGTGGTTTTGGGTCGGCTCTGGTCCGGGGGGGGGGTTGCGTTATATCATCGCACCAAACTGAAGATCACCAATGCCGATGAAAATTGTTAGTACGCCATCTGAATTATTCGAAGACTACCATCAAAAGAGTACCATCACTAGCACTTTAATTGTTATTTGTTGGATTGCTTTTAATGTTTAATGTTGTTGTTGTAAGCTGTTTAAATTTTGTACATGGTTTTATGGTACAGGGTACCAATTAGTGTAAGCCGCCCTGAGCCTGCTTGCGGGGAGGGCGGGGTATAAATTAAAACAATAAATAAAAAATAAAATAAAGTAGGCAGAATAGGGCTAGATAAATCAATGGTCCTAACTCTGAATATAGCAGCTCCTTATATGCTTACATTTTGTTTCCGTAGCTTTCTTAACTTTAATACAAAATATGAAACAAATATTTGAAACTGCTTTAGAACTAGAAGAGAAAATAATTGTATCTTCTGTAACATTACGGAATTCCCTCTTACACAGATGGTTTGTGATGGGACCACCTCGATCAGGAACAGGAATTCACATTGACCCTTTAGGAACCAGTGCCTGGAATGCCTTGGTCCAAGGACACAAGCGTTGGTGCCTCTTTCCTACTAGTACTCCAAGAGAGCTGATTAAAGTGACCCGTGAAGAAGGAGGGAACCAGCAAGATGAAGCCATTACTTGGTTCAGAATAATATATCCCAGAACCCAGCTTCCCACTTGGCCTCCTGAGTTCAAACCTTTGGAAATTGTGCAAAATCCAGGAGAAACCGTCTTTGTACCAGGTGTGTGCAGTTGCTGACTTATTTTTAAGTAAAATGAAATTGTAGAAAAAATACACTTTTGTGGGGAGGGGTTGTCCTCAAGCCTGTGTGCACAGTCCTCCCTTTTCAAAATGTGTTACACCATCCCTTTGTGTGTTTAAAGAGGAGGATGCATGACATATGTACAGCAGAGTAACTTTTGAAATAAGGTAACAAACTTAGGAAGGAAACTTAAGTGGTGGTGAATGTAACCTTAATTAAGGAGGAAAGCCCAGGAATGATGTCTTCTGTGTAGCAGGCAGCTTAACTATACAGTAAGCAGAGAGGGTTTGTCTGCTTTGAGAGTTTAGCCGAACTGGATGTAAAAAATGAAAGTGAAGATGCTGATTCTACTTAATCCTGCTCTTAAAATTGGTCATTTGGGAAACAGCTAAAAGACCCAGCTTCTCTCTTAATCCTGCTGGAAAATAATGTGTATATACGTACGTATAAAGATTGTGTACCAAGGTAAGCATCTATACCCTTGCTTCAGTTTTGTTCCTAACTTGATCTTGGGGAAAATATTTTTTGTGTCCTGTTACACTTTCAAACCTCACAACTAGGACTGACAGCTTTCTTTTTGAACTTGAGGCAAAGCCCAGAGAAAAGATTCTGTCAAGTAGGAGCCAAAGTAATGATATTGGGTTCTAGGATTGGGATAGGGGAGGCATGCAGAGAAGGGCAAACACAGTTGTCGTTATTGAGCAGCTATGCCACCTGGTGGCTCTGCTGCTGCTGCTTCCTTTCCCTTCCCCTTCTGGTGGTTGCACTATTTTATCTATTCAGCAGAGCTTGTTTGAGCATCTATGGAGGAGCCAAATTCTCCACCCTCCAGTCTTCCTCTAAGAGATGCAGTGGACCAAACCAGAAGATGGGACAACATACCTCTACCAAAGACTCTCACGGTCATTAGTCAAAGTCTGCCTTTTGACTAGAGCAGTCTAGTTTCCCTAAACCCACTTTTAGGGACAGGTTATGTCCATTCCTTCCTCATTGGCAGGGTGTAACTAATGATTACTGGAGATAGTTCCAGGTGGTCAGCCGTGTTGGTCTGAAGCAGTAGAACAAATTTAGAGTCCAGTGGCACCTTTAAGACCAACAAAGGTTTATTCAAGGTATGAGCTTTCGTGTGCATGCACACTTTGTCAAATACATTGGAAAGGAAGCTAGATTTCAAACTTATAGATACAGGCTGAATAGCAAATTAACATGTAACATGATGCAGATGCTTTAAGAAATTCAAAGTGAAACCAAGTAACAAGCTAAGGAAACCAAGTAACAAGCTAAGAGAGCCAGTTTGGTGTAGTGGTTAAGTGCACAGACTCTAATCTGGGAGAACCGGGTTTGATTCCCCACTTCCACTGGCACCTGCTGATGTGACCTTGGGTCTATTACAAGCTCTGGCACAGTTGTCCTTGAAAAAGAGCAGTTTGTGTCAGAGTTCTCTCAGCCCCACCCATCTCACAGGGTGTCTGTTGTGGGGAGGGGAAGGGAAAGGAGCTTGTAAGCCGCTCTGAGACATCATTGGGTAGTGAAGGGCGGGGTATAAATCCAATCTCTTCTTCTTCTATAAGGTCAACAGTTGTTTTGATTTAATCAAGAGGGAGAAAGGACAGCAAAGTAATAAATATGTCAAAATAGGGGATACATGTGAGAAGGCATCCTTTCTAATTGTGGGAAGTAAACTGAGAATCACCATTCGCCTCCTCTCAGGCGTGGAGGTAACTTAACAGCAAAACATTCCATTATTCCTTGCATTACATTCAGTATTCTAATATACTATTCTGAAACACAAAGGATGTATAGTCCTTCTTGTTGCCATCAATGTTCCTAGTTATGTTCGTGACACCACGCACTTTCTGAGGAAAATACAGTCTTTGAACAACCTTCCAGAAAATACTATTTTAGCCACCATGGATGCGGAATCTTTGTATACTAAAGTCCCACACTAAAATGGATTACAAGCCATAAGGAATATGATTTCTGACAACACAGCTGAGTTTGCCACCAAACTGTGCCATTTTGTTCTAACCCACAATCACTTCAGATTTTGTGACAACCTGTTTTTCCAGATTAATGGTACAGCGCCCCACAGTATGCTAACATCTTTATGGCTGACTTGGGGCAATGCTTCCTAAAGTCCCACCCACTCATACCTCTCTTATACTTGTGTTACATTGATTACATTTTTATTGTCTGGACACATGGTAAAGAAGCCCTGGACACATTCCACCAGGCATTCAGCGATTTTCACCCCTCCATCAACCTCAGACTGAACCAATCCATGCAAGAAATATATTTTCTGGACAGTACTGTAAAAATACATAATGGACACATAGACACCATCTTATACCAGAAACCTACTGACTAATATACCTACATGCCTCCAGCTACCATCCTAAACATACCAAACGATCCATTGTATGCAGCCAGGCTCTACGCTACAGCCGCATCTGCTCCAATCCTCAAGACAGAGATTCTCAACTGAGGGATCTACATCACACCTTTTTGGTACTAAGGTATCCACCTGATGAAGTCAGGAAACATGTTAACAAAGCCAGAATGATACCCAGAGAAACCCTGTTACAAGACAGGCCCAAAAGAGACAATAATAGAACACCACTAGTGGTCACATACAGCTCTCAGCTCAAAACAGTTCAATGCATCATCAGTTACTTACAATCTCTACTGGATAATGACAGTTCTCTTTCACAAGTACCGGGGGACAAACCTTTTCTTGCTCACAGCTGCCCAGTCTCAAACAACTCACCCACAATAATGCAACATCTAATTTGAACATGGACACTGGGACCAGATGCCAACTTTGCTGCCACACACACACAGACAACACAATCAGTGGACCTAACAACATCAACTACACCATCAGAAGCTCATTCACTTGCTCATCTTCTAACATTGTATATGCCATTAAATTCCAGCAATGACCTTCAGTTCTCTACATAGGACAAACAGGACAAACCCTATGCCAGAGGATAAATGGTCACAAATCTGACATCAGGAATCACAAGACTGAGAACACTTCAGCCTTCCAGGACATTCAATGAATGACCTCAAAGTAGCTGTTTTATTACAAAGGAACTTCAGGAACAGAATGGAGAGGGTGGTTGCTGAATTACAAGTTATTACAACACTTGGAACAAAAACCTCCACAGGACTCAACAGGGATATTGGTTTCTTACCTCATTATTTATTTATTTATTTATTTATTCGATTTGTTACCCCGCCCTAACCCCTAAGGGTCTCTGGGCGGCTTACAGGGAGTGCTAATCACATTACCGAATCTAACCTAGGGCCACAGATATACAGGGGTGGTGACAACCCTACCAGGCACCCTTGTTGCGGCGGATCTTCGGTTGTTGTCCTGTTCTTGCGGCGGTAGTCGGTGGGGTCCTTTCCTGGTGCTGGTCTTCGAAGTTTCCTTCTTCTGGCTGTAGCGATTCATTTCCGGCCAGGACCAATCGCACTTCTGCGCATGCTCCACTTGCGGCCTCTGTTCTGATGAGGCTCCGGCCTGCCGCGCTGCTCCGCCTCTGTGCCAGTTGCTCCGGCCCCTTCATTCGCTCACTCCTTGCCTCGCCAGCTGCCATTTCTCTTTTCTTCGCTGCCGCCGCCAACCGCCGCTTCACCTTGCCGCTGCATCACAGGGACGGGTCCCCCCCCCCCCGCTCTAGTAGCAGGTACCCATTAGTCTAATCGCCCTTTAACGGGCTTTCGAGCCTCTGGGTGGGCGGGAGCTGGGACATAGGGCCGGGTGCTCACCCTGGCCGCGGTGGGGCTCGAACAGCCGAAGCTGAAGTTCCTTTGTAATAAAACAGCTACTTTGATATCACCCATTGAATGTCCTGGAAGCTTGAAGTGTTCTCCTACGGGTTTCTTAGTCTTGTGATTCCTGCTCTGAGACTCTGAGTAAAAGGCGGGGTAGAAATCATCTTCTTCCTCTTCCTCCTCCTTCCAAGTATTGACCCTGCTTAGCTTCCAAGATCTGATGATGAGATCAGGCTATATCTGCTCACTTCCCTCTGGTAACCCATATGCTAACCCATTCAGTCCTCACCTATATATTCTCAACAACAAGGACTATAATCCTCTGTATTTTAGTGTATTTCTTTTTCAGAGTAGTATATTAAAATACTGAATGTAATACAAGGAATAATGGAATGTTTTGCTTTGAAGTTACCTCCATGTCTGAGAGGAGACGAATGGTGATTCTCAGTTTACTTCCCACAATTAGAATGGATGCCGTCTCACATTTATCCCCTATTTTGACATATTTATTATTTTGCTGTCCTTTCCCCCTCTTAATTAATCAAAACAACTGTTGACCTTATAACCTTAGCCCTCACACCCATGCCCTGCCACCATTTAGGCCTCACTATAAATCGAAAAAAATCTAGGTTAAAACCTCTACACAACTTTCAGTTCATTGGAGCTATATTGGATTCCTCAGCTGCTAGGGGCTGCCTCCCTACCAATAGAGGGTCCGTGATTAGGGCCTTAGTCAGTGTTCCTTCTAAGCTGAGTTAGTGTGAGCTAGCTCACAGTTTTTTAGCCTCCAGCTCACTCATTTTTATCTTAGCTCAGGACGGATGGCTCCAGAGCAAACTAATTGATGTGGTAGCCTAATCACTCACAGCTTAAATGCCAGTAGCTCACAAGATTCCGCAGCTTAGAGGAAGCATTGACCTTAGTGCTTCATTTTTCACACTCTCATTTCCAACACTCCATCCATCCAGAGGTTAGTAGGATTAATGGCCTTGACGGCTGCCGTTTTGCCTATGGCCATGTTTTTCATGCAATCATTACAACTCTGGTTTGTGTCATGATTCAAACCTGGTTGTCATTCTCCTTAAGTCCCTTGTTTGGTGGTCACTGGATGATAATATATTTGCAGGCCCCCTTAACAATAGCATATTATCCTCAACACTGACTCCTCCCTTCAGGGGTGGGGAGGCCATTCTGAG